CCCATCACCTCGACATATTTTTCGGACTGAAATTAACCTGTGGCTTGATTATATATGGATCATACATATTTAATATGTTCATATACATATCATGTTCGGACAAATGGCAGTATATTGTCAAAAATAAATGTAAAATTCATAAAAACACCCTACTTTCGGTTTTGCAGCGGCACGGGCTACCTCTCTTCAATTGAATTTTTATATCACAGGTACCCTCTCATTTTTGAACATATAGGTACCATCAAAGCACGACATATGCTTTTATCTGCGTTAATCGTTAAGTATGTATGTAATATTTCTTACTTTTATGTAAATATTACTTACTTAGCGATAAACGCACACAAAAGCATATGTCGTGCTTTGATGGTACCTATATGTTCAAAAATGAGAGGGTACCTGTGATATAAAAATTCAATTGAAGAGAGGTAGCCCGTGCCGCTGCAAAACCGAAAGTAGGGTGTTTTTATGAATTTACATTTATTTTTGACAATATACTGCCATTTGTCCGAACATGATATGTATATGAACATATTAAATATGTATGATGCATATATAATCAAGCCACAGGTTAATTTCAGTCCGAAAAATATGTCGAGGTGATGGGCGAGGCAAGACATGTCGATTTTTTGTAGCTTATTGTGAAGTTGCAGTACATGAAAAACGGGCACATGACAAATTAGCATGAAAGTAAAACATTATAGTGTTCCGTGGTATACATCTTTTCTACATGACATACCTCATTTCCTTATTATAATGAAATTTTACTGGATTGGTATCCATCGCTGGTTTGTTTTTAGCAGAGAATGACCTGTGCATGTTCAAAGAGGGTACCGTTTCAGCAGATTTCGCTAAGAGGGTACCGATATGGATATTCACCGTGAATCAGTATCCCTTACGTTTCAAGTTTATTCAATATATATCCCAGTTTGCATTTTACAATACAAAAAAAAACATGAGACAAATACATTTGTAATAATAGATAATAATAAACTGTCACGTTAACATGTGAGGGCAACACTGTATGAATATATTAGATGTAAAAATATATTTGGGCGTACCAATAATGACATAATGTAATACAAGAAAAAAAAACGGTCAACATTCCAACTAAAATGAAAGCATGTGTATGAATGTGAAATCATTTAATTATTCGTAGAAAACATTGACTAGGAATTTTTTTATTAAGATCGGTAACATAATTTAATAAAACTTTATTGTTTGTACTTTTATATTTTATCTTTTGACATTCTCAATCAACTTGTTTAACTTTTTTAGCCGCGTCACGACAAAACCATTATAGTGCGTTTGCTTCCGCGCAGTCTGATCAGGATCCATGCTATTCGCTTACCAACTCTATTTCAAGTAGAGAAACAGATGGCGAACTGCATGGATCCTGATCAGACTGCGCGGAAGCGCAGGCTGGTCTGGGTCCATGCTGGTCGCAAACCCATTATGTTGGTTTTGTCGTGACGCGGCTCATGTCATGTTTTGTATGTAGTTTAAATATGTGAATATCACTGATTGAATTTATTATGAAATAATTTCTTGATGCATGTATTGTAATAAATATACATGTATATGTATGTTATGATGATTGGTGTTGAGACCAAGTCAGAAATAAAATATATGTTCTGTTCTATGTGTCGGTATTATGTTATTAAATGACCACTGACAAATACAGAGTTACATGTAATTTTAATAGTGTTACGCTTTAACGTGATCATGATAATAATAACGATGATGATGATGATGATGATGATGATGATGGTGATGATAATGATGATGATGATAATAATGATGATGATGATGATGATAATGATGATGATATTGATGATGATGATAATAATGATAATGATGATGATAAAAATGATGATGATGATGATGATGAGGAGGAGGAGGAGGAGGATGATTATTATTTTATTATTATTATTATTATTATTATTATTATTATTATTATTATCATTATTACAAAATACCAAAATTTAATTGGTTTATCAAATGATCATTACGTTTGATTTAATGGAATATTCGTAACACCCTAAATCTACTGAAACTGGAGGAAATTATTCCATGCCACCAGTATAACGCCAGACCAGCAGCCTAACAAGGGCCACTAACCCCAAGATAAATTATGGACTGTCCCATAAACTGGAAGCCGGGCAAGTCCATTTAAAACTAATTCAGTAGATTATAGGTTACAGGTGCTGTATCTTTCGTAGAAATCAAAGTCAGATCTTATAGCCTGAAACTACATTTATCACGATTAAGACAAAATGACATTCAATTTATTTAAGATAAAAATCGTTGTGCGTGAAGTCGATACATTCCAATGCACTGATTTACATATAGTTTTTACGGTCATCGTAAACGCATAAACAGTCTGACTCGCCCAAATAACATAGCGGTCAAATGCGCGAAAACATATTAGTGTGCTGTGTTTTTTATTTTCCAAATATAATGCTTATTTTATTGAAAAGAGATTTAGGGCGGTGCCTTGCAATTTCGGCGTAATACATGGGGCTTAAGAGATTATTGAAATAAAAGCCCGGATTAGCTTTTTCTTTAAACGGTGTAAGTGTAGACCTAAAATCACCTTTGATGTAATCTTTGGTCATAAAATCGAATTCCAATCCATACACCGGAGTATAACCGGTGCTACGGAACACACATGTCTCGAACGAAACATCCGTAATTTATGATCTTTGCATGCGTGCATTGTCATTTGAATATTTTAATGTTGCCCATTTAAGTCTCAAAAAGGAAATATTTTCATGAATAATGTCAAGCAGGTTACTTTTCTAATTACTGAATACAATGGTACTTTTAATACCCATAAGCTTAAACCTGTAATGATGGTTGCGAGTTTAAACCTGTAATATACATGTATATAATAGAATTATATTGGAAGCCTTTTTTCTACAATTGTGCGTTTTCACAGTCATGCTTTAGTCGTGCTTTTTTGTAAGCAATAACAATTTTACTATTCCACACACGATTATGACATTGCATTGAATACTAAACAAGGTATTATCATGCATGATTATTAAGGCAACTAACATGTTTACCATTTTTCTTCAACAAACGTATTTGACCTATAAAATCACAATCCCATACATTTAAAAAAGGGCGTGTTCCTTCTAAATTTTGCCAAGGTAAATAAGTTAACGTATATACCTTTGAAAGGGATTAACAAGTAATTATCAATCTAAATATTGACTTTCTTTACCACGAGTTGTTCCCCTTTAACTGTATTTGACCGCTTAGAAAAGAACGGTCAAACCTTCTATCATTCATTGATTTGCTATCTTTTGCCATTATTATTTCATTATTATGTATATATATACGTAATAATATCGGAATTCCTCGGATAGTATCGATAATGTCTAGAACAAATACAACTTATTAATGACAACGTGGCCAGTTTTAATTATAATTGCTCTATTTCAATTTAAATGTATCAAAAACATAAATTTGTAAAACCAGCTGACTCCGTTAATAATCCGCCCGGTTAAACCGTGAAATCTAGCCGGATGTTTGTACTTTTATAAATTTAAATGGTCGTATTTTCGTCAGAAATCTTATTATTTATACAATAAATATAAATTCTACAATGTATTACGTAGAACTAGGCTTAATGAAGAAGTCTTAAGTCTGGCCACTTGTGGCAATCGGCTAGTGGGCAATGTTCAGTTAAATGTATTTAAGAAGTCACTAGTCTTAAAGTGATTTAGTCTAAAATGGGAATTATTTTGGTATTTCTAAGCAATAGGAGGTATCATTTTGGATATTGTTATTAAATGTGTCTTGAAAAAATATCGATCTAGTTCTTATTGGTTTACTACGAATATTTATCTGATGAATTATAACAAATTGTTCTAGGACAATTTATCGTCTGCTATATATGAGTATGTAGGGGGCGTCAATTGCCGAGTGGTTAAGCTCGTTGACTTCAAACCACTTGCCCTTCCCCGCTGTGGTTTCGAATCCCGACAGGGACTTTGGATTATTTCAAGTGAGGTACTTTCCGGCTAGCTTACGGAACGTCTGTGGTTCTACTCAGATTCCCGATCACTCCCTCCAATAGTAAAGCTGGAACGCCACCATATGACTTATGCTATGTTGGTGCTACGTGAAACCCGACAAGTTATATATGTAAAAGTGTATCACATTTACCAACAACAACATTATATATATATATATCTTATCAACAACATCTATATATGAGCCGCGTCACGACAAAACCAACATAATGGGTTTGCAACCAGCATGGATCCAGACCAGCCTGCGCATCCGCGCAGTCTGATCAGGATCCATGCTGTTCGCTATCAGTTTCTCTATCTTGTTATAGAGTTTGTACGCGAACAGCATGGTCCTGATTATGTTGGTTTTGCCATGGCGCGGCTCATATAATTATTTCCCTTTAATAAAGATATTTTTGTGTAGAATTCCTCAAGATGTGACAGATAAAACTTTTCAAACTAGTTTCGAATAAGTTAATTTTATTGAATATAAAACAAACAATATATAAAATTTTGAGTAAAATATTCCTCTACAAAAATAAATTTTATATGCATAATAACATATTACATAAATACATGTATATAAAGATGTAGTATTAAGGGGCCTCCGTGGCCGAGTGGTTAAAGTCGCTGACTTGAGATCACAGGTCCCTCACCACTGTGGGTTCGATCCTCACTCGGGTCGAAATCTTTCATGTGAGGAAGCCATCCAGCTGGCTTACGGAAGGTCGGTGGTTCTACCCAGGTGCCCGCTCGTGCCTGAAATAATGCCCGGAGGGGCACCTGGGGTCTTCCTCCACCAATAAAGCTGGAAAAAAAAAATCGACGAAAAATCTCGGCGGGACGCTCTAGGATGACCCGACTTGAGTGTACGGTCGCCCATATGGGCTTTCCGGCGGCGACCTTAAATAAACGCATTAAAAAAAAAGAATGTAGTATTAAAAAGGTAGGCTATGTTAAAATACATTATAACCATAATTGGTTACAATGTATTTACACATTTTCATCACTAGACATATATACCCGTAGTGCCGCACGTAAATTCGATAACACGTGAAAGACATCAAAAGAAAGGAAAAATTTTATTATCTGTAGGATAAAATGTAATCTGGTTTAAATTTCACAAACTGTGTCACAAAATTAAAACATAAAATAAAAATAAAAAAACAACCTAAAAGCAATCAAAGTAGAAAAGTGTTTTAAAGTCCACAAAAGAAGACACAGATTTAAAAGATGTAAAGTTGGCACAAGTAAGTGTTAAAGCAGTACAAAAATATTTCTATGGAAATATGGCACCGTATAATTATGCTAAAGATATTCTATACCTAGTCAAACATAATAAAGACGTTTACAAATCAAAATATATGTAAACAAATACAAAAATGAAATACAAATGTTTAATATTAATTTAAACACACGTCTCTAGATTTCTGCTAATGAAATAGCAAAAACTTCACTAAATCATCTCCAAACTGCACGAGATATAAGCGTTTTTCTTTGATCCTAACTGTACTCTGTAGTTAGTTGGAATAGATTGCGAGTTTCCATTGCTTTCTTACACTGATTGATCTCTGCTGACCGAAGTGACAATAATATGTTTACAATTCTATTTCTAAATGCAAAAAGAATGATATCCGTAGTAGTGGTAATCCTCAACTGGTTTACATGTTATATTGCATATTTACAAACATTTCTGATGTTTCTTCCTGTTGCTGTTGGTTTCGCATTTAGATAAAATCCCTGAAATTTAAAGTTTCAAATAATGAACTGTGAACAAAAATTACACAAATTACACAAAATATCAAAATATTAACTTAATATGCATGTATATTATATAGGTATTACCTAAATAACCCTGTACGGTCCACACATGGTCGTTCAATCTCGTATTGAGATTATATATATATATATATATGTACATGCAATTTAACAGCTGATAATACTTTATTATACCTGTTAGTTAGTAAAGTCAAGTAAAGTAAAATAAAGTAAAATAAAGTAAAGTAAAGTAAAGTGAGGTAAGGTAAAGTAAAGTGAGGTAAAGTGAGGTAAAGTAAAGTAAAGTAAATAGTACATGACGTCAATAGTTATTGAACATATATGACATTAAATGTTTACATTAGATATAATTAGATCAAACAGAAAATGAACATTTTACACATGAAACAAATAAATGAGCCTGTAAAACATAAAACAGAAATAATATATAAATATGATAATTAACTCACTTTTTCATTTGGTCTTGTCCTAAATAATTGTACATGTAATACCAGGAATAATTATTCATGGCATTATTATAATAACCTGAAATGATAAACAAAAATGTTTCATTATTTTAAGAAATATAACGGATGTCAGTTTATTATTTTAGTGTAGGTAACAAACAATAACGATAGAAATATGAAATTTTCACAAGATAAAGTTTTGTTTATTATCTGTTTTTCTTCACTTTATTTCTGGACCGATAAACATTAGACAAGTAAAATGGTTTCCTGCGGGGAACATTTTTAACGATATAAAGATATTTCATTTAACTATTTTCAACATTGTTTGGGGGTGGATAAATAACCGTTTGTATCAGGAATATAGTTGACAATAATCGATCAATATATAGAAGAAGGTCTTTGGAAACTGGTGACCGTTGATGACCGGAGAAGGTCGAACATAAAACAATTATTTCTTTTCAAGAAAATGATTAAATAGGCCTACCATTTTATGAATAATTCCGAGCAAAAAAATAATAAATAAAGTAAACACACAAGTTTACGCAGAAAATATCTCTATTTATGATGGAATATTTTAATTTTGTAGATTTTCAGTATAAAAAATTTATTGTTCATTTTGAGATACATTGATAATTTTCAAACACATCATTCAAGTTTTTCCACCTTAAACGGTAAAATAATTATAGAAAATTAGAAATATCACGCAATAGTTTTTTGTTCTTAATTAGGTGTAATTCTGACTAATTCCCTAGAGGATTATCCGTAACGTACCGGCAAACGGTATTTAGTCAGGTTTTCGAAAAGGTCAATTAACCAATCATGTACGGTTTACAGATCACATGCTCCTCCATGTACCGAAAACAGGTCACGTGCTCCTCTATGCCTCAAAAGTTAAACGCGTACCAATACCCAGACCGCAGGGAATAATTGGGGCCAGAAAAAAATACTGTAAAAAGTATACTTAGTTCAGTAAATTAATTCAGTATATGAAAAATAATAACCTTCATCGTCTATAACCGGATATGTTTCACCTCGTTGTCGTCTGCGGCGATTCTTAGTATTGTCGTCTGACGAAGACGCTGACAATGTTGACTGGTCATCCCAGGTGTACGGTACATAAACGGGGTCATTCCGTCCAATTGTGTTGATCTTTGTCGGCATGACGCTTGGGAAGAAAGCACCATGATGGTCAAATGTTTGTCTGTAAAATTAACATGCTTTTCTTTATATTGTTGTCAAAGTACAGACACATACATATATAACTAGATTGGTCTCATATGTTTAATATTATTTGTAACATTTACATTTCTAATGTAGCTTTTTGGCCGTTCTTGTGTGAAACTCCGATCTGTTTAGTTAAGAATTTATTTAATTCTAATCTGGTGAATGCAAAGCTTACAGAAAGGCTCCACAATCCGTTCCTGGAACCAACTTTTTCTCAGCAATGGATGTAAAAATTGTTGCTCAAAGAAAAAATGACTTTCCCCTGAATGGTATTGCACCAACGCGACCAGCAAACCTTAGGTTTCTAGTCCAATGACGCTAAACTACTCGGCCATGCCGCCATAATCTATATTTCTAGCATAAACTGTACGGTTACATACCTGTTAAATCCGCTGGATTTGTGTACATATCGTTGATTTTGTTTTCGTTTAATGTATACCATACATACAACCAGGATGAGAACGGCAATAAAAAACAATGGTATTCCAACCCCTAATCCGATCACCACGGCCAAATTATCTGTGATTCTTGTCCTAAAATTGTCAATGTCATAAATGTATATTCTTACAACATCACTGAATACATTAATTTTGTATAGATGTATACTTATACACGTCTTTGATTTCATGCGCATAGATACCCTTTTTGTCTAAAAAAATCGGTCGGACATTTTGGGCTCGGGCTTGAAATTTGTTCTTGTTCTTCTGCAGATGTTAATGCACCTAAAAGATGCATTAACCATTTATAATAAAAAATATATATCATGCTCAAATTTGATACATGCATTTGAAAATACTGAAAATTGCTACACTGTATCTTTGTAAATATAAAGTCAACAGTTTTCGGCTTCGCACAGATTAGATATGTTGTTTTAAACTATACACTATAGGAGGCCACAAAATGAATATATAGCGCCATTTAAAAATACTTAAACGCATATTCCCGTACATACATTTTGCATTGTTTAATTCAAAATTAGACATATTTAGTTAAAAGATCATATATGGCAATACATTTCTGCGATAAAATTATTTTACTTCAAGATGAGCACAGTACATTGAATAATTCTAATAGAAATTATAATCAATAATTCAATTTCGAAAAATACCCCCTTCATCTATATACCTTCATCTATATCATAGAATAATGTTTTATATAATCATTTATATAATGTATTGATTTGAAACTATTGTTAATATTGGTAATTAGATAGAATGTCAAGTTTCATGCATCATTTTACATATTCACCATGTTTGACGAGCAAAATTGGTAAATACAAAATGTTACATCATTACAAGAACTTTGGACTTACTTGTACTTGCAGATAGCTTCCCCGTTTTCTACAGCACAATACTGATCGCTACTGCACTTACTCTCTGACTCGGACAGTAACAGACACTTTATCGTTGTTTGTGTGTCCGTCTGTGGGTTTATTGCTGAAAAGTAAAACGAAGAACTTATAACACAGTGTATGTACCAGCCAATAACTGTTACTCAGTCCCTATCCCCGGATATCGAGGACTCGGGTTCTTCCTGTGGTAACTCTTACAATGTTAATTTCACATGGAATCTAATAATCGTTACTGGTGGTAGAGGATATAAGGTGTCTCGGTTTATTTATTTTTAGGAATCTACCTTAAAACCTAAAAAATATTATTGTATAGTAACTACATATCTTACTCGCATGAAAGAATCCAAAGGTCCTGTCGGGAGTCGAACCCACTGTTAGGGGAGGGTGATTTGAAGTTTGTTACCTTAACCACTCGGCATCAGAGTCCACTAACAGCTCTGTTAAGGTAATGTAAATTGGCCCAAAGGTATTGAGTAATCACTAAATCGTTACATGGAACAGAAACCATATAAAGGGGTCAATAGGGTTCTTACCGTCTGAATTTCCTATTTGTAACGTGTTGACAACAGTGCTCTGACCGAAGACAGTGATAGAGGTATTACTGAATCCACTCACAGCGTTTGAAAAATCGTTCCTAGCCTCGTCAGTTTTAGACACCAGAACAACGAACTTGATCTTCAGACTACCCCTATGACAGAAAGAGGTTGTATTATACTATTGTATTATACTAACATGTATTATATTGTATTATAACACATTTTTCATGAATACATTTTACATTAATTAATTAATAACTTGCTGGAAGCATTTGAAGCAGTGTCGAGATGTCCAGCAAAGTTGTATGCTATTGTGAGCTCTAACATTTTAAATTGACTTTTCTAAAGTCAAAGCAAGAAAATCCATTTTACGAATCCAGAAGTGACATTATGCTCATTCTGTCAATTATCAGGTTAAGCTGACTTGACTATATTTCAAAACTTTATAATTATGATTGACCAACAGTTGAAATTGGAAAATGTTTAAGAAAAAAAATTTGCCTTAAATATAAAAAGACTGCCCCACTCTATTTATAAATTTAACGTTACAATTAAATTCCGTTTGATATTTACAGAAATTTTCTTGGGTATCACTCATGCGAAGTAGCTTATAAAATTGAAAGGAATTTTATTTTGACTTTCACCTGTTCACTCACTCATTGGGACAGTCATGTCACTGTAAGACGTATTATAGATAGCTGCACATTGTATGCGGATTTTATTTTTTATAGAGCCATGAAATATTTAAAATCGTACAATAAATGAGCCGTGTCACGACAAAACCAACATAATGGGTTTGCGACCAGCATAGATCCAGACCAGCCTGCGCATCCGCGCAGTCTGATCAGGATCCATGCTGTTCGCTTACAAACCCTATAACAAGTAAAGAAACTGATAGCGAACAGCATGGATCCTGATCAGACTGCGCGGATGCGCAGGCTGGTCTGGATCCATGCCGGTCGCAAATTCATTATGTTGGTTTTGTCGTGACGCGGCTCAAATAATTGTTAAAGGAGAATGTGTCTTTGTATACTTACTCGGTAACAGAATATACTTTCACTGCTTGAAGATTAGAAATGTCCATTTTACTCTCGAAATACGCTTTTATCTATGAAAATAAAGATAGCAAAATGATTTACCATATAAATATCATTTTATATCCACCACAATATTCACGTTTCAAACAGATTGTAGGAGATGTATTGGTGATACTGTACTTTTGTAACGTTCAATTTCATGTTTATATGCATTATATACAAGGCTAATGCAAATTTAAATGTATGAAAACAGTTGTTTTTTTTATAAATAAGTTATGATTTATAAAGATTTTTGACAGGTTATATAACCTGTACTAATGGTAGAGTTTGGTATATAACCCTCGTCTAGCAACTCCAGTTATATAAGCTCAAACCCGTGTATACTATGACATATAACTTGAATTAAAAAAAAAACTTTATAACTAAGATAATACAGATATATTTTGCATCTACAACGTGGTCAAGAAAAGTTAACTTGTTTAAGAGAACACAACTATCTTAAAGCGCCGTGTATGAAAGACAACAGGACGCTGTTGCTGTTATCGGTTTTATGATTAACCCTTAACCTACCGAATTTCCTAAATGGAATTGTCTTACTTCTATTTCGAGAACTGTCCATTGTATATTTTGAAGATATATAAATGAAAAATATAAGTTAGTTAGACAATTGTATAGAGCCTGATAAGACTGCTCAGATGGTGCTATCTAGCATGGCTCTGTACTGGTGACAAAGGCAAAACACTTCCGAATCTAGCAGGTTAAGGATTCTGAAACTTGAAACCTATAAGGTTTGTCATGACATAATATCGAGTCTTTTTTGTCGATAAATTGAAAAACAAATAATAATATTTATATATCAACTTACCGCCCGTTCAGCCTCTGCCTTGTATACATCGTTGGTGCTCTGTATATCTAAATTGTCACTTTTTGAAACTGAGGCTACATTTAGATTGAGACTTATAAACATGTCAATCCCTATAGCATCGTCTGAAATAATGATTTAAGTTTTGTTAATTTTTGTTAGTCTGGATAACCTGCCCTTTGTATACAAAATGTTTACAATAGATGCTTGGAACCAGTATATTAAAGCCAGGTTAGCTTGCACATTCTTTAGATAGTTTAAAATTCAAAATTGACATTTTCCAAAAATTTAAGTCGGACACGTTTATTTGAAAATTTCAGCAGGTTGAACGTAAAAGAAGAAATGGGCAACTTAGTTTTAAACGCACATGATGCCTCAGAGGCCAATAATCTTTTAAATCTTTAGAAAGGTCTGATATGTGTGTTTTATAATATTTTTGATACTGATTTTAAACGTCTTAGATGTTAAACAACGATAGAAATAGTTTTAAATGTGCCGTAATGTGTTGGAAAAGGGTAACAAAGTAGTATTTTGACTTCCATACAAAATACTTATTCTCTATACTTATACCAATTGCTAAAGAGTAAAAGAACCGAAAGATAGTTAATTTAAATAGTCAATAAGTTTTGTTTTGAAGCTGTAAAAAGATAAAGAAATAAAAAGATTTTGAAAACAAAAATGATAGCATTGCATGTGCTTAATGGGCCTTTAAGCAATAGGACATCGCTAAAGGATAGCAAACTAATATTTCCTACTAGCTATGCGACCATACTAGGAATAAGTGTCTTTTTCAGTAATATACATAAATAATGTTTTATTTATTTGATAAGGTACAACACTATGAGACAATATTGAATATTTCCTTGCATTGAAATATATGATATATGATAAATTATTATTCCGTATTCATTGTGTTATTTCTCTTACCTGGTACTGGCAGACTGGTTGGAGTCAACATACCTAAAACGTATAAAGAAACTAATTATCAAACGGAAAATTTTCAAAAACCAAAATATCTTATTTTGTATCATTTGTCAATCAAATTATTTGTCAATGAAATTTAATAAGTTCTTTTCATATTTATCAATCTTTCTATACATTTATCTACGTTCGAGCACTTTATGTCTGTTTGTATGTTTACTGATCTGTTATCAAGAGTGTTAATTAGTAAATATTTTATTAACTTACTTTCAACACAAATTCCCTTTTCATCCTTTTTGAAGCCCATGAAGCAGGAACATTCGTAGCTTCCATCTAAATTATGACAACCTTGGTTTGGTTTATTTTTGCATAAATTCGAATCTGCGGCGCATTCATCCACATCCGTCTGACATCTATTTCCGGTCCACGTGGCCTTACATTCACATGTTCCGGTAATGTAATTACATGTCTGATTTGCATTAAGTGCGTTCGTAACAACGCAATCACATGCTGTTTTACAAGAATCCCCGTATCTGTTGTTACTACAAGACGTGTTAGCGACGGTCGTTGTTTGTCCGAAAGTTGTATCAGCGACGGTTGTTGTTGGCCCGACAGTTGTATCAGCGACGGTTGTTGTTGGCCCGACAGTTGTATCAGCGACGGTTGTTGTTGATCGACCAATAGTTGTGTCAGTAACGGTTGTTTTTGGTCCTTCGGTTGTGTTATTGACGGTTGTTGTTGGGTCGAGAGTTGTATCAGCGATAGATGCTGTTGGCCCGAAAGAGTTGTATCAGCAACAGTTGTTGTTGGCCCGACAGTTTTATCAGCGACAGTTGTTGTTGGTAGGACAGTTGTGTCAATGGCAGTCGTTTTTGGTTGGACAGTTGTGTCAGCGACAGTCGTTGTTGGTATGACAGTTGTATCAGCGACAGTCTTTGTTGGTAGGACAGTTGTATCAGCGGAAGTAGTTGCTGATCGACAGTCGTTGTTGGTCCGACAGTTGTGTCAGCGACAGTCGTTTGTTGGTCTGTCAGTTGTGTCAGTGACAGTCGTTCGTTGGTCTGTCAGTTGTGTCAGTGACAGTCGTTGTTGGTCTGTCAGTTGTGTCAGTGACAGTCGTTGTTGGTCCGGCAGTTGTGTCAGTGACAGTCGTTGTTGGTCCGTCAGTTGTGTCAGTAAACAGTCGTTGTTGGTATGATAGTTGCGTCAGTGACAGTCGTTGTTGGTCCGGCAGTTGTGTCAGTAACAGTCGTTGTTGGTTGGACAGTTGTGTCAGTGACAGTCGTTGTTGGTCTGTCAGTTGTGTCAGTAACAGTCGTTGTTGGTCCGTCAGTTGTGTCAGTAACAGTCGTTGTTGGTCCGTCAGTTGTGTCAGTAACAGTCGTTGTTGGTCCGTCAGTTGTGTCAGTGACAGTCGTTGTTGGTCCGTCAGTTGTGTCAGTAACAGTCGTTGTTGGTCTGTCAGTTGTGTCAGTGACAGTCGTTGTTGGTCCATCAGTTGTGTCAGTGACAGTCGTTGTTGGTCCGTCAGTTGTGTCAGTGACAGTCGTTGTTGGTCCGGCAGTTGTGTCAGTGACAGTCGTTGTTGGTCCGGCAGTTGTGTCAGTAACAGTCGTTGTTGGTCCGTCAGTTGTATCAACGAAAGTTGTTGTTGGTATGATAGTTGTATCAGTGACAGTCGTTGTTGTTGGTAGGACAGTTGTTTCAGTGTCAGTCGTTGTTGTTGGTCCAACAGTTGTAGTAGTGACAGTCATTGTTGTTGGTAGGACAGTTGTATCAGTGACAGTCGTTGTTGTTGGTCCAACAGTTGTAGTAGTGGCAGTCGTTGTGGTTGGTCCGACAGTTGTATCAGCCACATTCGTTGTTGATAGGACAGTTGTATCCGGGACGATCGTTGTTGTTGATCCGTCAGATGTACCAGCGACAGTCGTTGTTGTTGGTCCAACAGTTGTAGTAGTGACAGTCATTGTTGTTGGTAGGACAGTTATATCAGTGACAGTTGTTGTGTGATCAACAGTTGTGTCAGTGACGGTTTTAGTTGATCCGCCGGTGTTGTCAGTTACAATTGTTGTTGATTCCAGAGTTGTATCAGCAGCGATAGTTGTTGATTCAACATTTGCATCAGCGATGGTCGTTGTAGGTTTGACAGTTGTATCAGTGACGGGTATTGCCGATATATCAGCGGCGGTAGTTGTCGATATATCACCGGCGGTTGTTGTCGATATATCACCGGCGGTAGTTGTCGATATTATATCACCGGCGGGTTATTGTCGATATATCACCGGCGGTTGTTGTCGATATATCACCGGCGGTTGTTGTCGATATATCACCGGTGGTTGTTGTCGATATATCACCGGTGGTTGTTGACGATATGTCACCGGTGGTTGTTGTCGATATATCACCGGTGGTTGTTGTCGATATATCACCGGCGGTTGTTGTTGATATATCACCGGTGGTTGTTGTCGATATATCACCGGCGGTTGTTGTCGATATATCACCGGCGGTTATTGTCGATATATCACCGGCGGTTGTTGTCGATATATCACCGGCGGTTGTTGTCGATATATCACCGCTGGTTGTTGTCGATATATCACCGGTGGTTGTTGACGATATGTCACCGGTGGTTGTTTGTCGATATATCACCGGTGGTTGTTGTTATATCACCGCTGGTTGTTGTCGATATATCACGGTGGTTGTTGACGATATGTCACCGGTGGTTGTTGTCGATATATCACCGCTGGTTGTTGTCGATATATCACCGGTGGTTGTTGTCGATATATCACCGGTGGTTGTTGTCGATATATCACCGGTGGTTGTTGTTATATCACCGGTGGTTGTTGTTGATATATCAGCACTAAAAGTGGTATCATAGGAAGTTGTTGTTATACCTGCAGTTGTGTCAGTTACGGAATTTGATGGTGCGATGGTTGATGTTGATCCGACGGTTGTATTAGCGACCGTTGTTTGATCGACAGTTGTTTGGTCGATAAATGTTGTTGATTCGACGGTTGAATCAGCGACGGATGTCGTTGATATGACAGTTCTGTCGGTGACGGTTGTTGTTTCAGTACAATTCATTGTTGATGTCAAAATAAAGATGATCAAAATGAAAAACGATACTTGCTTTAAAACACAACGTTCACACGCCATTGTTATCTGGTTTCTGTAAATAAAAAAACTCATGGTCATATACTAGTAATGATGTTTGTCATAGTTATATATCAGATTCATATTTGATTTTGAAACAGACATAATTCAGTATGTTTACTTTGTTGCTTTGTTTCTTTCAATGCTTAATGATTTCAGCAATTGCACCATTTTTATTGTAAATCAGTAAACGCTTGAACCAAGAAAAGAAAAAAATAACATAACATGAAACTTTGTAAATAAAATATTGCAATAAATTTGGAATGCTTAAGTGCATCCTTTTATTACCTTATAAATTTATTTTTATGTATTATGTCAGAAATTTCTTAAATGCATGTGATCCGATGTTAATATTCGTGCTTTTTAAAAAAAATACTTTGATATACGTTTTACTTAAAACAATTGTTTAATTATTTCGTGTACAGTATTTGAACACCATGTTTAGTTTAGATGGAATGGCATTGTATCTATTCATTTTGTTTTAAAAGATGATGAGATGTAAAGACAGCTACTACTACTATGATTAATGACATATTAAAATGTTGTGGATAACAATGAAGAAAATAAATGTTTTAGAGCAAACTTTCATGATTTTTTGTTTACGTAAATGTTTATTATTTTATATATACCTGATATTGTAGCGATTTCCAACAACAAAATCATATGTAATCTTTAAACCCGATTTGTATATAATTTATAATCTTCAAACCGTTAATTATTTAATACATAGTTACATAGTCTTTCAAAAACGCGTGGACATTTCTTTTACACTTTGAAATATCTTAAAAGATTAGAGAAAAGTATATATTATGATCACCTAAATTTTTAGTATTTTATTCATTTAATTTCAATGAAATAAGGCTTATAAGCACATGGTGGCATAATAACATATATTATAGATTATAGATAAAGGTACATATTGGACAAGCGATATGGTATTATATTATTCCAATTAAGTTGAAAGGAAAACATATTTAATTTCCAAACTATTATTCCAATTAAATGCAGCAGATTTGTTTTAATATTTATGTCACAATTTCAGTATTGGTTTTGTTCTAAATGGTAGAAATGTGGGCAAAAAGTTTTTACTTAGCTAAAAGCACTTATTAACAACTGAATTAACACAATTGTCATAATTTTATTTTGAGACTTGCATATAATTACATTTTAGCAATGTTGTTATCTTTGAATCTACATTTATTCGGCTTGTAAATATATAGCCTAAAAGATATCCAAAACTATTAACCGAAACATATAATTGTTTGGAATGTAAAAACGGACACTGCACGGTGTCTTATCCAAGTCCCTCCAGCCATTTATTTACAAAAACACACTTAAAAACATATTTATTCAGAAAACATGCACTATAAGATAAAAGTGATAAGAAAATATATTTGTAATAAAAGTGTATCAATGTCAGGCCGACATAATAGTTTATGGATGTAAAAGCCTTCATCATCTTTATGAATGTGTCATTCTGCAGTTCGCCCAATTCTATAGCTTCACACTTCTTTATATCTTTAAATTTTCTCATATTTTCTTCTTTACTCGAATTTCATTCCTAATTTAAACTTCTTTACACTTCTTTATGTTTTTCTTTCGATTTTTTTTCGATTGTTTTGTTCTAATTTTGTCTTATTTTCCTAATAATAATAATGTTAATATATTTTATCTTGGATGTAACAATTTATTAAATCATCTGTATCGCCAAAATATGTACCGATGTATAGCTAGAAGTGGAGAGAATTACAATAAGCTTTGAGCTTCCAGTTCAATCCACTTTATCATGATTTTGTATAAATTTTGTGTTTGATGTGAATATTGTAACTTGATGAAAAAATAAATATGTTTAAACCAAAGCCTTCAGCATATATCACCTGCCTCAGCAAACATTGCATGCCCGGCAAATTTTATTTGAGACGTATAATCTTATGTAAGTTACAAAGTTTCCCAAAGTATTGTCCGAAGTGTTATCTTTCCGAAAGTTAAAATGCTATGATTCGAAAATCTAATATCTAAAAAAATGGTCCGAGATGCCGTAATTTCGGAGAGTAAAAATGCAACAGTTCCGAAGTGTCCAAAGCTTGGTACAAAGTATTCTTAAATATGGATTGAAGTGGTCTCAATAAAAATGACCTCTTTACAAGATATAACCTGTATGTTAAATAAAGTCTCTGTTTTTTTTCTATTGTTCTTTTACTGGTCAGGTCCAAAGTCTCACAAAATATGGCCAGAGTACCGTTTCTTTTTTAAACACTTCTAACATTTGGTCCTAATTCCTATTTTTAACAGATTTGATGAGAGACACAGATATGGCCTTAATTAAATTCGAAGCCTCAATGTATATTTCAGGCCGCGTTACGACAAAATAACTTTATTGTTCGACAAGCATGTATATTTAACAGCCTGTCCATTCCGGCAGTCTGAATCAATTTAAATTGTTGTTCGCTATCCGCTTTCTCTAGGTTTGTAAAAGCATGCATACTATTCGATTTGCGGAAATGGTCTGATGCTTGCGGTCGCAAACCATAATGTTAAAATTTCAAAGTAAAAAATTAAGTATATATAAGTAATGTAAGTATATTTCATTGCAATCAAACAATATAAAGAATTATATTAAAGTGTTGACAACAAACTAAAGTTGATTGTCAAACATACAGAAGGAACAGAATAGGGCTTACCTCTTTTTATGTTATTACGTCATTATACATTAAAGTTCACGAAGTTTCTATTACAAACCTTAAAAAGACATCTTAAAAACAATATGTATACAATTTTCAAAAATCCTTACCTTTTTAAACCAGAAAATGCCCAAATTACATATATGAAACAAATCCTTTTTTTCTTTAAATATATTACACTTTAAAATATTCTTACCTTTTTAAACCAGAAAATTTCCAAATTACATATATGAAATAAATCCTTTTCTAAATATATTACACTTTTACAAGTCATAAAATCCCAAACAACATTTTCTTCGAATTCTTTGGTCAAAGTCTTTGCGCAAATGTGCAACACCTTTTGTTGGTTCAAGTAGAAGATGAAAAATATCGGAATCTTCTCTCAATGGAATTTCACTTTTCAATAATTTTTGGGAAAAGTGTTATAATTTCTATAAATCCGTTAAAGGTAACCCACCAGGTCGGATTTTTTGTCCCTATGTTGTCTATGAGAATCTGTGGTGTATTAGATAAGTTGACAATACGTTCGTTACAATAACAAAAGACTATTATCTGCTTGAGTGGCCCGCTGTAGGGTTGACACCAATGTCAATCCTGCAATATATCTTACATGCATACACGTGTAATGTGGCGAAATAAATAACAGATAAGTTAAAAATTTAATATTTTAATTGTATTAAGCCACTCAGTCTCTGTATTTCAGCGGACCTAATTTGCGAAATATTAATAATATGATGATGTTTAAGGTACAATGCACGATTACTTATAAGAATTCAAGAAATGAATGGAATAAATCGTTAAAACTAAGAAATAAATAGTTTGAAATGCACCGTCTTTTCCTGTAAAAATTGCTTTTAAACAAACTGGTGGTTCGACATAAATGAGAATTTTAAAATAAATTTACGCCCCCCCCCGCCCCCGTTTTTTTTAAATTATTTTTTTTGGAACAAACTTTGTGAAGTGGGAAATGACATCCATTGTACTTACTACCATATAAGAAATCCAACTAAATAAATGCAAACTTTGGCCACAAAAAATGATTTTAGAAAAACTGATAAATGTTTTTTAACTTATGAGGAAAACTCTTTTAAAAGTATATGATTTATTATCTTTTTTTGTATCTTACGACTACGTGATCTGTATATAACTAAGTTTATTTGCATGACGCTATATGAACACTCATATAATAAGGCACTGTAACACCGCAAAACGTCCGTACCGCAAAACGTACGTTTATGGACGTTTTTCGGCGCATATCGTCCACATTTTTCTGACGTACATTTTGCGGCAAAAAGGCATGGTCCTGCCGCATAACGTCCATATTTTAAAGTTTATATAATTTTCGTTAATTTTGACCAGTTATTATCAGGTGTTATTGTGTGTTAATTTTAGCTCACCCGAGTATGCGCCTGTCTGTCTGATGTTACTACTCCAACGGTTTCATTTCTTCTTCAATCTTGACAATTTTCAACAGAATAACTGTGACCATAAAATCTCAACAAAGTTAGATTATAGGCTAAATCTAACAAAAAAAAATATGACTAGGCGGTTAAAAGCACCCCCATCCCCACCCCGCCCCCGCGACAAATGCTCTCTTGCTCAATTATGACTAGGCGACTTAAAGGCCCCATCTCCATGACAATACAGCTCTCTCGCTCAAATATGACTACGCTGTCAAAAGCCCCCATCCATCCCCCGTTAAAATGAACGGTAGAACCAAACCTCCATAGTCAACAAGAACACAAAAAATCATTCCCACTTCTTGATGCAATTATATGAAAAGCTATTGTCAAAAGCAAAGCTTAATTTTAATATTTTTTGTCATTTACTCAGTCCAATCCCCAGTTCGTCCGTCCGTATAGCCGTCCTTTTCTGTATGTCTATAAGATTACATTTATTTTTAATATCATCGTTTTTATATCTCTGCTGTTGCTGCTTGGTTCCATTCCATAAAAAATCTATTCGAAAAACATCCTCGTCTCAAGCATATTTCTTTTTTTTAAATAAAAAAAGTCAGAATTATATAGGATCACAAAAATATTGCACTTTAATGTTTATTTCGTCATATCTTTACCTGAAACAATATGAAAGTGACAGAACCAATAAAAGTAACGTTTATAATGAATATATTTTAATACAGAAAATATGGACGATATGCGACGCTAAGACACATTCCCGCCGCAAAACGTACGAAGTACGATATGAACCGCAAAAGGTCCACATGTGTACGATATGCGACGCAAAACGTCCACACGCGTACGTTTTGCGGTACGGACGTTTTGCAGTGTTACAAGGCACCGTGCGGTTAGTTCAATAGATATAGTGTTGGACTATAAATCGGGCAATCCGTGTTCCATTCCTGGACGGTGCAGGTCACTTTCTTTGTGATTGATCATGAAATCATTTATACGGTCATTATCACTGTATCTCTACTGTGACATGTACAGACGTCATCAGTTCCTTGCGAAGGTGAAAGAAACTGATACTGGTAATTAGCTTGACAGCCTGTCAAGGAGCAATGTGGTGGCTTAACTGTGCTCTGGTAAATTCAATGATGCCGTAATTCGGAGTGAAAACTACTAACACCACCACCACCACCACCACCACCGTAATATAACAATCCGTTCTGGTTATGATTAAAAAGACAGAATGCTAATTGTATGTGGTGTATATGTTCATCTGTGTATCGTACATGGGCATTTTGAAAATTATTATTTACACCATCAATGGTTTCCTTGTACACTCTCAAACATGCAAGCATGTTAGATAACAATTTTTGTTCACATTTCTTACTTGAATCATATCTTGTTGAAACTGTTTAAAACCACGAGAAACTTTAACTGAGTAGTTATTTACTTGCTGAAATTGTGTATAACCATGGAAAACGTAATAATAATCTTGAATAATTTCAAGCTGAAAGTGTATAAAACACTGGAAAATATTCTGATAAAATAATCTTGAATATTTTCAGACTGAAACTGTGTAAATCCATAGAAAAAGAAATCTATTACGTAGCAATACAGGACTTCTATTGAATCACCATCTTTATCATCGTCGGATACCTTTAGTTGATTGACGACGCATCTTTATCAGCTGCGATATCTACTTACTACGATGGCTGATCTGTGCCATTCGTGTTTTTCGCCCCCTAACCCAATCCAGCGAAAAGTCGAGAATTAAAAGTTAAAATGGCGGGGGGCGCGGGCGAAAACACGAATGGCACAAATTAGCCACCATAACGAACACTTATTTAAATGCGTTTTTTTGCAAGTATTGGAAGTTTGGCAGTTCCTGCTGGGTTTTATTGATATGTGATGATAGAGGTCTATTGACTAAAAAGGTAGTCTGTTTAACGATAGGTGTTGTTGTCAAGTACTTCAAAAGGGTTGAAAATCAAAATGTGTAAGTAGAAGAAAACAAACAAAAAATGTGAGAAAAACAAATTTAATACTTGTTCACAACTTTTTTTAATCTTTAAATATAGTTAATCAATATATAAGGTTTTAAGGGAAAAAAAACCTCCTCTTAATAATATTTATTATATAATTACACATAAGTATGAGCATATCAACAAAATATAATCTATGTTAAATTAATCTACAATTTTCATATATTTAATCTCAAATTCCATTTACACAAATGCATTAATCTACAACGGTCATGTAATATTACAAAACATCGTGTTAATTAAAGACATATATGAAATAAAACAATCGGCAATGCGGATCTTTCATTGGCCATTTATATTATAAACTTTCACAGAATTCCCGCTGAAAATTGATTTTTGGTTCATTGCATGACCTTTTGCTTCTTTGCACAACCTTTGGCTCATTTCATGACCTTTTATGTCAACTTTAGTTTACATTTATTAATTTGAAACTCTTCAGCACATGTGTTAAAATTCAAACGATTACAATTATACATAGTAAATTGCAACACCGATACCCACATCCCGAGGAATAGCGACGACTTTGTCTTTAATTTTCAAACACGCGGTAAAATTCTGATAAAGTATCCCCACACCACCCGCAATGCGTGCCAAATATAAATATACCGCATTGACCCGGAAGTACGGAAGGTCTTATAACTGACTGGGGCATTTCAACAATAGGTGTACATATACAAACAAATACTGACCATTTATAATACATGTATATATCAGTCATAGCATGTCATTAAATTGAATACATTATTTACAAAAATATTTAAAACATATTCTATAACTTAATTTATTATACACATATTTCAACTATTTGTAAATTGCAAAATTAGCACATTGGATGAACAATTTAAAATAACTGTAAATTGAAAATAAACTTTAGTCTGATAAAAATAAAACATTTCAAAATAAATCTCTGACTATAATAACAAATATTAAAGAATCAAATGATATGTAACAAGTGTGTAAGTGCATGGTCAAGGCTATTTTTATGATTTTAATGACCTGAACGTATGGCACCATGCAATTATGCTGAAGTTGGTACGTTTTCTTTAAAATAACTTTTATATATATGAATATATTTTGAAATGAATATGATTTGAGCAAAATTTAGAAAACAAAATTCAATTAGAATGATACCAGAAAATAACACCTGGAAAAATGTTATCGATTGCATCTTATATATGGTATAAAAGAATTAAAAATATGTTTAAACATGACAAAAATTGCCCCCTCTCCCTGATTTATCAATTTCTTTGAGCATATATCATCTTTCCACATCTAGAATTAATTTCAAAATGTGTTAAATCACTTAAAATAATCTTATAAAAAATATAATCTAAACTAAAATATGTTATCTTCTCATTTAAAACGACATGCTTAGTAGGATTTCTATCTATTTTTAAATCATTTCAATGATTTCATGGACATGTTCACACTACATGTATATATGATGTATGATGATGTACTATGTACAAATAGAATTAAAATGGTATTCTATTCTGTTCTTTATAAAAATTTTCAACTTTAAAGCAATTATGGCAGTTAAATGAAGACATGAACACAGCGGAAAAATAAAATCCTCACTAGATCATCTCCAAATTGCACGAGCTGTAAGAATTTTCACATGTAAATAGCTATGAAATTTTTTTGACGCTGAAGGTCTTCCGTAGTTTGAAATGTCAAATATAAATTTTCATCTGGCATTGATTTGATTGACTTGTCAACCCACGTATTTCTTCATAATAACTTGCACAATAAAGCACTTTGGTGTTGGTTTTGGCATTCAAATAACATTCTGAAATAAAAAAAAGTACATAATTATATAGAAATGTTATACATATACTGAATACTTTTTCCTGAAGTCAAACACGATAAAACCTGGGTCTTTAAGGGAAATTGTATTAACAGCAACTGACATCAATTGAAGATAAAAATACGGTAATGCTCAATTTGAGCCTTCACAAAGACATACTCATCAGAAGTTTTGTCTTTGAGATAAATAACAGAAGGCAAATGGAGATAATTAAAATAGATTAATGCTACAAAAATATCCTTAACTTATAAAAGCCACTCCTGTGTAAAGACCATCTCATAAAAACCACAGAAAACATTTGTTTTATAAAACCAAATGTTGTTATGCATTTACCATTAATTCATATGTCATATGACTTTATTCAAGAAAACCAGCTGTATTTTGAAAGTGGGGAATTTACGGGGTCAATGAAGTTGAATATTTCAATTTTGAAATTTTATCTGCTACATATATAATTTTACACTGAAAATACCTACTTTATTTCATTAAGTGTATAATCCTATACGGTCAACTTGTGGTCGTTGAATTTCATACTGAAATATGATATAGATAAAAAATAAATCATAATTTCAAAACAGCTAAAAACAGCTTATATTTGATTACATCTTAAATCATGGAGTATACGAAGATTGACAGTGTCATATTCTTTTGCTATCTAATTTTAAAACATGAAAAATGTTGAAATTAAAAGGCTCTACATAATGGAAACTTTTACTCGCATCTAATATACAGGTACGACATAAGTACTTAACATAAGGTAAGACATAAAACTAATGTGAAATCAAATAAAACATATTAAACTTTAGGCGAGCATCTATTTTCAAGACTAGCAGGAAATACTGGCATAGACAAAATATGTGTAACAATGAACCAAACATTATAGAAATGAAATTAGTACAAAAGCAGAAGAAAAAAACAGACATAGAACGAATCTGACATAAAAGATATCATACACAAAACAAAGATATAATACACAAAACAAATTAAGATATAATACACAAAAAAGCATATTATACACAAAACAAGCATATAATACACAAAACAAACACAAAATACACAAAACAAACATAAAAGACATAAATCTAACATATATGACAAAAGACATTACAAAATATTATAGAAATATAAATTTGATATACGGTGACTCACCTTTTCGTGTGGTGCTATATAGTTGTACATGAAATCCCAGGAAAAATTATTTGGGGCGTTACTATAATAAGCTGAAATAAGAAAAAGACGACATTTCATATGACTTCGATGTTAAGACTTATCATTAGATAGGACAGATGACATACATTTTCCATCATTTCCATAAAAAATGATAATTTTTATGAAAATTAATAATGTAATCTTTAAGGCTTGTGCTTTGGTTTAATTTTAGCATCTAATTGACGATGTAATGTAAAAGCTGTTCTGTATAATAAATCATCAAATAAAAATAATCTGAAAGTAATTCAGTAAAATAATTCAGAAAATGAAAAAAATAATAACCTTCATCATCAATAACCGGATATGTTTCACCTCGTCGTCGTCTGCGGCGTTTCTTAGTATTGTCGTCTGACGAAGACGCTGACAACGTGGACTGGTCGTCCCAGGTGTACGGTACATAAACGGGGTCATTCCGTCCAATTGTGTTTATCTTTGTCGGCATGACGCTTGGGAAGAAAGCACCATGATGGTCAAATGTTTGTCTGTAAAATAAAAAAAACATAATCATTCACATGTAAAATTTGCAATTTGAACTAAAATTATAATCAGGAAAGAGAGCCTGAAACATTGAATAAATTAAGGGACTGATAAGTACATAGCAACCATAATAATTATCAGTAAATATCCAAAGATCATTCTGAAAAGATAAAATTTACTTTATTTATTATACATTAATAAAATATTGAGAAATATTGATGAAATTAAATGCATATTTTCATGTCCCGTATTTCACTGAAAGAATATAGTTTTCACTGCAGTGAAACATATTTTCCGTATTTTCACTGGTGTCTTGCAAGGTTAATTTCTTCTCAATTCAGCCAATACACACAATTAAAGGGCAAGTATTTTGAATCGTATGGTTAAAAAATATGATTTATAATAAACAGAAATTCATGTTTTCTATAAATACAGGGTTTGGCAATACATATTTCACAAGCGGATGTTTATTCTTACAATCTGAGCTTATATTATTACATACCTATCAAATTCACTAGACCTGTATCCATATCGTTGACTTCGTTTTCGTTTAGTGACGTATACAATACAAACAGCCAAAATGAGGAGGGCGATGAAAAACAATGGTATTCCAACACCCAGTCCTATCACCAAGGCGAAATTATCTGTGGTCCGCAACCTAAAATAGGTAAATATCATGACTGCTTGTTTTTACTAAGCACAACGTATTGCGAATCCGTGTGTCTATTCAGGAAAATAAGACAAGTTTAGTATTAAGACATTAAATGCTTGTAAACCTTACTGCACTAAAAGCTAGGGTTTCGTACTTTGTACAGCACTACTCATTTGTAATCATGGTCCTTCCATTCACGGGGAATTTTGTGTTTTGTATGATCAAAACACTGGTTAGGAGGCACTCAAATGGTAAAAACTCCCGCTAACTTAAACATATTCCCAGCCTTTCGGCGCCAAAATAAAGCACTGTTTTGACTCGGCAGTGCATGTCAGACGAAAGCATTTAACAACAAGACCCACAATAATAAAAATTAAAAAGATTTAGTTTTATTTTGGACACTTAAATATATCTTTCTTTAAGCACTAAAATCTTCAATAATCTTGATATATTGATCTGACTTAATGCAAATTTATAGGATACCAAATGGAGTTGAAATGTGTATTAAAGAGCTGAACCTGCAAATTGGTTGTCCGTTTTCTATAACACAATCCTCATCGCTGCTACATTTACCGTTAGACTCGGACAGTGCCAGACACTTAATTGTTCCTTCTGTGGCTGTTTGTGGGTTTATTGCTGAATAAATGAAATATTACATTTAGATATTACATCTCCGCCATAATGTCGGGAACTTCCGGAACTTTTCGTCAATTTCCGTATCGTGTAACGTTCAATCAAAAACTAGTCAGCTTATACTTTTTTTTCTAATACAAAACTAGTATTAATCGGATTGCGACAAAGTGGCGAAGTTGAACAATTTCACGCGAGATTGTCATAGAATGGGACGATGCCCTTAAATACGAGAGCTCTTAATCAAACAAGAAGGATAGCAAAGTCATATTACAATATACTTATAATAGATTTTAAGATTGTTTCTTCAATTTACGGTTTTAAAACCAACTGGACATTTTAGACACGGCATTAATATCTATGCATTGTAAATAACGTATTGTAAATAACAATAATTTTATTAACGCATTTCCACACAGCATACTCAAACAATTAAAGCCCTGGAAAAAAGTTTTGTTTTAGTTGAAAACCAATTTATTTACCAGCTGAATTGCCGATACGCAATGTCTGAGCTAATGTCGTCTGCCCGAACACAGTGATTGGTGTGTCACGTAAACTGTAAACAGCGTTTGCAAAATCCTTTTTAGCTGCATCCGTGTTTGCTATCAAAACTATTAACTTTGCATCCAGACTTCCCCTACGAAGAGAACATATGGCTTACATTAATTGGATGGACATGATTTTCATGAGATTGAAAAAGAAAATTCGAACTTATGATACGATTTTAAAAGTCTTTTGTCTTGGCATGAACAAATCGTGCTTTAAACTTGCCTTCAATTTAGAGTCATTATATTTCTTAACGATAAAAATAAATGAATGAACTTACTCGGCGACAGAATACACTTTTACTGCCTGAAGGTTAGCGGCGGCCATTTTACTCTCTAAATAGGCTTTAATCTGGAAAAAATGAGGAAAATAAATTACTTTTAATAATATCATTTTTGCATGTCATTTCGATATCGTATTGAGTTACTTCTGTAAGTGCGTTAGAAAATCATGGGTTGACTCTGTAGATGTCTTTGTAATTAGTATATGGTGAGAAAATAAAATTGATTTATTTATACAAATTCACAGAAATAATTACATTTTATCACATTAAGGACAAAGACTGTATTTACATGTATATTGTGTATGTACCTTTACTTGCGACTCGGATTTCTTTTCTAAACCCATCATTCTTTAGAAGTAATGGTTATTTCTGTTAGTTAAACATAATGGAATAGCTCAGATTGTAGAATAACTTTTTGTTCCCATCATTCATTTAAATTAATGGTCAATTTCTGATAGTAAACATAAAGAAATACTACTTTTCGTTAAAAAAGTTTAAAACTTACAGCACGTTCCGCCTCAGCTTTGTATTCATTGTTCGTAGTTATAACAGTTAAGTTGTCACTTAGTGAGACTGAGTCCACACTTAGGTTAAGACTCAAAAACATATCAACTCCGACTGCATCCGCTGAAACAAAATATATCTTCCATTTAACTTGATAAAATATATCCATTAAAAGTCTCCATTTAAAGACACATGTTGTACTTACGAATAAAAAATTTGACTTATATATTTGTACTTATTTTGTTATTCAAAATTTGATTAAATGCGTAACTTTGTTAATATTGATTGTGTACGAACAGGTAAACTTTACAGTGCCTTTGAAAAAAGTATCATTATATTTATCTTTAAAATGGGTTTAATTAGAAAATTATTGAACTACATTTAAGGTTTCCATCAACCAGTGCAATTTTTAGATTCTTAAAACATACCTGGTACGGGCAAGCTGGTCGTTGTTGCGGTACCTAAAATACAAAAAAACGTTAAGTTGAAATGTAACTGACAAAACAAAATATAGTCAGAATCACTTTTACTACGATATAAAAATGCTAGCACTGTGAATCATTTAAATTTCTACGTTAAAATGCAATTTTATATCACGATAAGGAAAACACTTACGGCTAAATGAGTATCTAAAAGATACATAGCTTCATCACCAACAATTTAACTAACTTACTATCAACACATGTTCCATTTTGATCCCTTGTAAAACCCAGGAAGCAGGAACATTCGTAACTTCCATCCAAATTATGACAACCTTGGTTTGGTTTATTTTTGCATAAATTCGAATCTGCGGCGCATTCGTCCACATCCGTCTGACATCTATTTCCGGTCCACGTGGCCTTACATTCGCATCTTCCGGTAATGTGATTACATGTCTGATCTGCAATTGCGTTCGCAGCAACGCAATCACATGCTGTTGTGCAAGAATCCCCGTATCCGTTATTACTACAAGCTGAAAAGGAAGAATGTCCTTGTATTTGCCAAGTAAATTCATGTAAATGATTGATAACGTGAAAACTCATTTATTACCAGCAGTCTAACTATAAATGATCAATAAAAAAATTCCGCACTTATTTGAAGTTAATTAAATATTCGCACAATAATATCAAAGACGCCTACTTTGTTTGGATTCTACCTAGGACATGCAATTGAATAACAAGTGGATCAAATTAGTGCTTGGATTTGAAAAACAAATTGTACATCAACTATTAGCTGTTTTGAAAGATATTGTTCTTTCGCTTTTATTTATTATTGCTACCACAAACCAAGGACCTATCTTAGTAAAGCTGGTTATTTCTGCAAACTTACATGCGCACGAATTGTTTACGCTCTGGTATCCTGTTGCGCATGCGCAAGAGAAATTTCCTGGCACATTTGTGCAGACAGCGTTGGTGACGCAATCATCAATTCCTAACGTACATTCATCAACGTCAGTACTACAGTCAGCACCGGTCCAGCCTGGTTTGCATACACAGCCTACTGAAGGATCACAGCGTTCTGTGTTGGTGTTATTGCAGGCACATGTATTTCCGCACTGTTCTCCCCAAGTGTTGGGACCACAAGCTGTCAGAAGAAACAACAACAATAAGTTGGAAATTTCTAAATATTAGCTTGTTAACAGGATAGACATTACAGTCATGGTATATTTTGTTATTTCACAGTGAGCTTAACGTTCCTAAAACAATTTTAGATTTGAACATACCGGCATAATTCTTCGAGTTTAGGTTTGACAAAAATTTAACAGCGATACCAAGGCATTCTGTTTGAAAGATCCTGGTGATAGATATATTAGGAAGTCATTGCCTGAAGTATTCTTTTATATTATATATTCGTTATGACTCGCAGAATATACTCGTATTTGACATTATACCAAAAACCTCTCATAAAATTCTGCAATACTCTTACATATTCTAGTTTTCTAATGATGTAAACATTGTATGTCGCAAATGTCTTTTCGTTAAATAAAAGATTGCATATATTTGTATGATTAAAACTTACGTGTACAAGTTGAACCGCTGGTTCCCGAGTACCCGGGGGAACAAGCGCACGTGAATTTTGGTACAGCATTCACACATTTTTGTCCTGTCTCTGTGCAGGCGTGAGTTCCCAACAAACATTCGTCTTTATCTGCATAATCAAAAACACACATTCATAATAGTCATCATCATTGTTGATAAGTAAATGTGCATGCGCTATTTTATTGATAAAATCTTAAATCATACTTTGATTTGAAATTTTGAACGCTACAAACCTTTAATTGATGGCCTTTAACGAAACGATATTTGTTTTTTTGAAATTTTCATTCACCTAACATCGCATTACTCTGGCAATTCCAGCAGGAACATAAGATCTTACGTAAAAGAACAAAAGCAATTGTAAATGTCGATTACATATTGCAACAGCATGCTTATAGTGACAGATCTACTCCATAATTATGGAGGATCAATTTGAGTTCTCACCTATGCAAACGTTATCACTATTTGCAGTGTAACCTTCTATACATGAACACGTGTAGGAGCCGTCAGTATCTGCGCAAGTCTTAAGTGTGTCATTACAAATATTTGTTGTTTGGCATTCATCGATGTTCTCGTTACAAGTAGTTCCGGTCCATCCGCCCGCGCATGTGCACTCGCCACTGATTTTGTCACAGACATCCGTGTTAGCGGCAACGCATGAACACGTCTGCACGCAGTTAACACCGAAGTGCGTGGAGTCGCATTCTGCAAAGTAAAAAATTCTTTGAAGGCTTGGAACATCATTATTCTTTGGACAAAAATATATAAACGCCAAAAAAATGGTGCCTTAACAATTCTTTATGATTCGAATATACATAAAATAGTACTCGTTCTAGAAAGTTTTTCAAACAATTTTGTAAGTCTGTCTTTGATATAATCTCTTTGATTTTTCTCATACCTGTGCACGTGCCATCACCAGCTTTTATGTAACCCGTGCTGCATATACAATTGTACGATCCCTCTTCATTAGCACACGCTGAGTTTGATGGACACGGTTTAGTCAATGTTTGACATTCGTTGATATCTATTTCACATTTTGTACCTTCCCAACCTGCGTTACACGTGCATGAGCCACTCACATGGTCACATGACTTTGTATTACCATTTGCTGTTTCACACTCACAAGTCTGTGTACAGTTGATGCCAAATTTACCCTCCTGACATTCTATAAATATCATAAAAATCAAACTATGCAGACGAAAGTTGGAATTTCTCTGTTAATTCAAAAGAAACCTATATTTTTTTCGGTTTCCAATACATAAAACAGGTGTGATTAATTTTAAATTGAAAATGATTAAAATGATTAGAAACACGAACTTTTTTATGAAATATCTATAAATCTATATGGCTTTATTAGTAATTAAGCTTCAAATGTATATTGCTCGTCAAATACTCAATTGTTTCTTTAGAAAAAAGCAACTTTAGTGACATGAAATTTTCAAGATAATGTATGCTAAACAATTTCCTACCGATACAGGTTTGGTCGTCTGCGTCTAAAACAAATCCGTCTTTGTTGCAAGAACAAACGTAACTTCCGGGCAATTCTGTACACTCTTGATTACATTTATTCAAGCTGGTCTCAGAACACTCTTTTATATCTGAATAAGTAAAATATAGACACTGTTATTATATGTAAGTTAAGTCCATCTTACTATCAAAGATTTATTAAAGAACCATAAAACAAGAATTAAAGATGTGACTTTAAACAAGATCGTGTAATTTACTAACTATATGAGAACCGGGAACACGCCACTGTATACGAAAACACGTGACTATGTTCTATATAACAGAACAGTCACAACTATATACATGAACACACGACAATATACACATACGTGATTATATACGAGAACACGTGGCTATATAAGAAAATATATGACTATTTACAGAACACGTGACAAACATGACTATATTCGATGACACGTGACTGAATATGATAACACGTGATTACATTTGACTGTATAAGAGAACACACGACTATATACGAGATCCCGTGACTTAATACGAGAACATGTAACTATTACTGGTTTATATAATATATCTTTTGTTTGAAAGAACTATTTCACAAGATATAGCACGCGGCTAATTTATTTTGATGATGCTGTAGACAAATTATGTTTTTTACCACTTTTAAAGTATCTACATTATCGACCGGAAGTACTTACCAACACAGGCTGTAGTCGATCCGGTATCAAACCCGTAACCTGTTTTACACGTGCACGTGTCGACATTGTTAATGCGCGCGCAGATGGCACCACCGCTGCAGTAGTTGGAGTCGGTACACTCGTTAAGAGCTAAAATCAGACATGTTTATATTTAATTTACTTACATATTGAACTATTTGTACAAATGTATGTATATAAATAAAATTTTTAATTCATGATAATAGTTTAACTATGATTTTACCAAAATGGAAATAGTCCATTTATTAGCAATTTATTTATTACATTGTATTTATACATTTATTTCGTAAACAGAAATTATAACTTTAAAACAATAACATTTCCTTAAACGCGTTGCAAGTTTAAAATGCTACTGATTTCGATGGCACCCTTGAAAGAAACTCTGTAAAAAAACTTAATATAAAAATATCTTACGACTGCACGTTCTCTTGTCATCATTTAGCTTGTAGTTTTCTGGACATGAACATCTATAGCCACCCACCAAGTTTGTACAGATCTGTTCACAACCATGTGCCCCATCACATTCATTGATGTCTGAAGAGGAAAACAAACCCTCATTACAACTGTTATCCATTGATTTTATTACTTTGTATGTGAAATTCAGTCAATAACATATTTTTTGTTATTGTTCAACAAAACCATTAGCCTGCCGGCGGCAACAGAATCTCTCCATGAGACCAGTGCAGACCAAGATCTGCCGACACATCTTTGTCGTCTGATTAAGGTCTGCACTGGTTACTATTCAGTCATTATATATTTAAAGGTTTTTCCCCTAAAATTGATGAATGGTATTGTCAAGATTGAAAGCTGGACTCGTCCATTTAACATATTTAGTGGGGCGAGGATAAACCCACCAGTAATCAAGGGGAATAATTAAAAACTGAGATGACCTACGTCATGTCTAATTTTATTTACTTTTAAATTGTAATGATTTATTGAAACAAACAAAATTTATTAACATTTAATGATTATCAGATTATCTTTAAGCAATATCCACTGTCATTGTGGTAATGCAGTGCTGATAAGGATGTCGTCTGAAAAATAATTAAGAACTAACCCATTAGTCAATTCTTCGCCCATTTCCCTGAAAGATACCATGATAGAAATCGTACAGGATTTTTGGTTTTTAACTCGTAAAACCTAAGAAATGTTTGTCTATTGATTGAGATATGATATAAAATAATTTACCATTGCAGCTGTTTCCATCTTGAAGAAATCCTGGATTACAACTACATTCGAAACTTCCGTCAGTGTCTGTACAAATCTGACTGCATACGTTCAGATTAGCGTCGTTACATTCATTAATATCTGAAGACAAAATAAAATAAAATTTAAAAGCGTTGTTTAAGCGTATCAAACGATCTTTATATACAACATAGTGTTTTTTGTGTGACAAGTATAATAAAGCTATTCCTGATATCAATGATAAAGACAAGTTGTTGTTTACTAACAGTAAATTACCATTTTTGTAAAATTTTAATGTATTACCCGTTTTGTTAGTGTGTTACTGGCATTGTCAATCGCAACTTTTCGGGCTTTTCCGTCGAGTTTCGTAAATGTGTCATCAGTTTTGTAAATGTATAATCGGTAGGCCTATATGGTATTTAATATAGAACAATTTACTCAATATTATTTTCTTTCTGTCAAACAACTTACTCGTGCAAACTCCGTTCACATCCTCATATCCGGGTTTACATCTGCACTCATAGGATCCCGGCGTGTTGACGCAAGCTTTGTTGACTCCGGTACAAGGGTTTGCCTGGCATTCGTCCTTGTCGGTGTCACACTTCTGACCTGTCCAGCCGTCCTTACAAACACACCCAGTCACAGAGTCACATGATGAGGCTCCGACTCCGCAGTCACATTTATTTGCGCAATTCACGCCGTATGTAAACTCGTCACATGCTAAGAATAAGACACAATAAATTGTAAAATTTCTCCAAAATAGGTTCAACAACAGCATTAATAATTATACAAAATATGTCTCCTTTTTAGAAATTAACACAAATTCAAAGTTTATAAATCTTATCTTTTTATTAGATTTGTAAATTACAAAAAAATAAAAATAGCCTGTTTATTCTCAATGATTATCCCAACACTATAACGACACTTTTACGGTAATGCTTCATTAGTGTAGGAATACTGGTCTCTCCATGCTTCAAAAGTGTTTTTAACGTACCTCGGTACAGTCGCCAGTCTCCCTTGGACTAGCATGACTACAAATGTAGCTGGATAATTTTGTTTTTCAAAAGCTAATTTTTCTTGCGGGATTCGTACCCATAGCAGTGCGGGACAGTGTAGCCAAGATTATCCAATGTTAAAAGCAGAAGATTATTTTTAAAACTTTATTCATAATCAACACAATTATACACTCGTTTCATATCAATGTAAAGAGATAAATACCTGTGCACGTTCTACGGTCATTTTCGAGTCTAAATCCCGCTGCACAGGAGCAGGTATATCCGCCGTCTATGTTCACGCACGATGATTTCACCGAGCATAAATTTAAGGTTGCATTATCGCACTCGTTGACATCTGTAAATTTAAACCGACACATGTGATATTAAATGAGATTATGCAAACAACAACATAAATATAAATATTCTGATAAATTTAAACGAATTTCAATTTAGTTAAAATTGGCATTCACTATAAAATGCGATAGATTTATTGTGAGTACAATAATGTTTAATGTTTAATATATAATAATTCTACATCTTTTTTGAATAATTACGCCCGTTCGATGAGAAAATAAATGTTTTTTTTATAATGTGAGAACATACAAAAGAATACATTTAAATATTGTCTGGTGGTACGGGATTTAGACTCACCTATACAAGTCTGGTCATCGGTGGCGAGATAAAACCCGTTTCCACAGGAACACACCGGAGCATTATTGACCACATTGCAAATGTCGGAACAATTTTTCGAGGTAAAACCTTGACATACATCTTCCACTGAAATCGAAATTGAACAATGATTATCAAAATAACCAATACCAATATTATCATAGAAAATAGAATGATATATGATTCTCAAACCTCTTTCCTCATCCCTTCTTACGTTTAGATTCGGAATCAAACAAATTTGTAATAATGTTATATGTTAATATCAGCTACCAAAAGCGGTGATTCATTCCAGAGATTACAGAAGTTACTCCACTCTAGAAACACGTTTCATAAGGTGTAATTCACAATCGGAACTCCTCGGCGTCATAATTATCGACGGAAAAGTTTTGCAATACATCATTAATATATAATATGTCTACGCACCGCATTTTTAAAAGTTTTGTCGGAAATACGTTTAAGTAATTATAGTAGCGCAAATTGAATTCGCAAACCCTGCATTCATAGTGATTAGTTATCCAATGTTACGAAACCTCCAAACACTAGTCCTAAATAATGTCTTCTGCTACTTTGACATATGCTTTGACTTGAACTACACAAACAAAATGTAGAATTGCAAACTGAAAAAGCTTTAATTACCAAAATATGTTACGGTTAAACAATAATAGAGGCGTCCAGTTAATCAGCCCTTAACATGCTTGTTGAGGGAAAGTTAAGAAATTTAAATAAAAATATAAAACGAACTTACATTTTTTACAAGTTCGTCTGTCCGCATCAAGCTCGTATCCTGGATTACAATCACAATTAAATCCACCGTTGATGTTCACACATATCTGCTGACAACCGGAAGTAGAACCCGCGCACTCGTCTATGTCTATAAATAGAATAAAGAAATCTCTTTGTAATGCATTCCCACATCATAATACCGATAGAGTTACGCATATTCTCTAGATAAGTTTTTTTATGGCATTTTTGTTCATTAATAAAGAAAAAGGGACAGCCAACAACACAGTAGTAATTATAATGGTGTAGATTTGATATTGTTACACCATTTTTAAATTACCCAACAACTCTGTAATTCTCTTATATATTTAACATCCTGACTAGAACTTAAACTACAAATCTCTCGGTTTGTTACTTTTTACTTAAAATCATTAAAGCTGTCATACACGTTATTTATGAGTTAAGCATGGTTATGAAATTTTAATTAATATCTAAAGTTCAGCTTGAACACCGTACCTTTGCACTTGGTTGCATCACTTGGATCAACATTAAAACCTACGTTGCAGCCGCACGTGTAAGCACCGACCGTATTAGTGCAGGCTTGTTCACACGTGTTTAACGTGACGTCAGCACACTCGTCAATATCTGAAATGTAATGTGTAAAAAGATAAGAATATACATTGCTGTTTCATAAACAGTCAAAGCACGCAAAACTAAAAATGAAACGAGATAAATTGTACAACTTTGGACTTTCATTAAACAGGGCTTTATAAAATGGATCAGATTGTGGTATTGGCGTTTAATGCGTCGGATTTGTAATCTAAGGATTGCTGGCCACGTGGATTCAAACCATTTCTAGGGAAAGCCATAGCTTCCTCCATAATCGACTAAAGACTAACTCATAAAGAGCTAACTAAGAAGAGATTTAAGGAGGAAAACATATTTAATATCTAAGCACAAGGTATACATGTTCACTGTTAAAAAATCTATCTTTTAAACCAACGTACACTTTATATAGCACAACTTGATCATCTACAAGAATAAAATACCTGTACAGGTTCCGTCGTCTTGTTGTCGGAACCCATTTCTGCATAAACAGGTATACGCCCCTCTAGTATTTGTACACACTTTGTTTATATCTCCGCAGATGTTTGCTTCCGAACACTCGTTCACGTCCGTTTCACAGTCCGACCCTTCCCAGCCTGCATTGCATACACATCCGCGCCCGGAGTCATAGGTACCTTGTTGGGCTGGACAGCTTGTAATTGTGTTGGCACAATTTAAACCATATGATGGGAATGTGCAATCTGGAATGAGAATACCATAAAACCGTCTTGACGTAAGAAATTGGAACTAGCTTCATTAAAATGTAAATATTTATTCTTGATTTGAAACAAAAACTTCTCTATATAAAGTCAATCTGGAACTTTATTTGTATATCGTACTTGTACATGTGTGTTTTTAAATTGAAACATGTAAGTGACTAAAACATGGTGCAATCGCTCAAGGCCGAGAGTCAGAAATTTCACTATTTACATGCACACTATTACACTATTACAATAACTTTTCGTTTCTTAGACTGTTTATGTGACTTGCACGTAATTGTCGTTAGACTGTATATTTGCATGGAACCGAAACGTAGTAACTGAACTATAATTTCGGTGCAGTTTATTATAAAAAAAATCTACATGTAAAATGACATCAGATAAACTTTTTAGAATTATATACATTGTAATTTTATTCTGAAAGTATTTAATGTTAAAGATATAATAAAACGTTCCTTGAGCATGAAATTTTACACTCATTGCTTAGTATACTGGTTCGTTCTAGTTACGGATTTGAGAGTGTTTCTATAAGCTTATGGCTTCCTATACCATCGGAGTAAAATAAGTTCTGTATTAATTGACTTTAGGCCTACCATTGCATGTAACTCCGTCTGTAGCAAGTTTGTATCCAACTAAACATTTACAAGTGTAACTTCCAGCAGTATTCGAACATTCCTGAGAACATACACCCAGGTCGCACTCATTCACATCTGAAGGGAAAATGCATAAAATACATGTATAAGTTACTAAATTCAACATGCGTTTACATTAAATTAACACTCCTAATTAATGCTTCTTGCGAGAAATAACTTATGTAGATCTGAACTTAAGTCAAATTGGTTAACTGCTGAAATTTTGTAACAAATTTGGCATGCTTTGACTTGAGACAGTTTTTCAAAGTTTAACAGATTTCATTTTCCAAAAAATACTGGCCTGGTTTTGTAAGGGTGGAAAATGAAATCATTTCCGGTTCCGTTTTAAGCAGGTCAATGTGATAACCCATATTTAATATAGATTTTCTTGTTCCAGCTTTAGGTTAAAAAACAAGAATGATGTATATAACAATTTAGGAAATCATTGACGTAAATTTCAGGAATAAATGAATAAAAAAGCTAAAATAAATATTATGCGTCCATTTATCTGAAAAAATAAAAATACCTGCGCAGGTGTTGTCAGTTTGGTTTAAGGAGTATCCAGCATTGCAGAAACAGACGCCGTTGTTGTTCTCATCTACAGTGCAACCGTCTGCGTTATCACATCCGGCGGATGTACAGGCGTCCCGTACAGCCGTGTTGCCAGCGTCTATATATATACATGTCGTATTATCAGTGTAATATATACATGTATGCATAATACATATTATTCTTTCAAGCATTTAAAGTAAACGTTTTGTGGGAAATAAAAACATGTGTGAACTTATCGAAAGAAATACGGTAATATCTGTTCAAAATTATTAGATTGAATCCAACTGATTATATGTGCAGGAAAATCTTACATATTGGAAATACAACTTTGTTTTCCCTATTAGCGTGACATTTTGTTGTTGAAAAACACGACATATAGCAAAGCAATTGGCCAAATTTTTATTTGTCAAGATATCTTACCGACTTCACACGCCGTATTTGCATCGTTACGTTTATAACCTGTTTGACACGAGCACGTGAAGCCGCCGGCGGTGTTTTCACATATTTGATCACACCCATCCGTTTCTTCGTCACACTCATTTATGTCTATAAATAGATAACACATTTATCATTTGAATATACCGCGAGTCTCTAATTCTTATATTAAAGATGATATTGTCATGCACACCATAGATAAAAAGCATGGATAAATTTGATATGATATCAACTTGCAATATGACTATTGTTTTATTTTTATGTTTAACTTCTCACGCGATTTGTAAAATTAAGGTATTTAAACATATACAAAACTGAGAATATCTATTACAAAGGTTAAGGTAAATTTCAAACATATATTGTTACTGAAGAAAAGTTTTATGTGCAAGAAATAAATATACCTTATCGCAGCAAGTTACTCATGGCCATATGCAAATATTTCACAGTGTCAATATATGTTAATCACATAGTAATTCTTTAATCACGGCACATATGCTTTAGAAATGAATAAAATTTACGTTTTAAGAAAGGACACACATATGTTTACTTGAACACAAAAGTTACCTTTGCACGTGACCAAATCAGCGTCCAATCTGTATCCGGAATTACAAGCACATGTAAAACTTCCGGCAGTATTTACACAAGTTCCGGAAGTACAAGGATTGGTAGGTGTGCATTCGTCAATGTCTAAAATATGTGACGAGAAAATAATAATTTAAGAACTACATAAAAATGAGTATTGTACCTTCAAACACATTCAATGCAATATTTCTGTTCTAGAACTTATTTAACTGCTTAAATTCCGATGAAATACATGTATTTTAATCAAAGGAAAAAGAAAAAAAGAAAGAAGATATTGTTTGCATGTAATTGGCACATTTTCTTAAATATGTAGTGTATAGCAAACAGAAAGAAACAGTTAAGTAAAATGTTTTCATCTTCAGATTTTGTAAATTAGAAAAAAAGAAATGATTATTTGATACTTATGCCCATACCAACACACTTTACTCCGTTATCCTCGTAACCTTTAGGACAGGCCGAGCACGTGTATGCCGGTAATGAGGGATTGGCCTTGTTGTCATCCGCATTAGTGTCGGTACAATTTTGTCCCTGGGAACATGGTGATGTGGCGCATCCGTTTACGTCTGTCTCACAGTTATCACCTGAAAGTTAAATTTTTTAAATCTAATTTGATCTTTTATATATAAACATGATAAAAGTGTAAAGACAAAAGAGTGGGTATTACTATGTAAATAAAACATGGCTGCAGTGGCGATTTTGAAAATTGCAAATACAAGAGCTATGCTTATAATCTGAAATTGAGTTTTGTATGTAGTCTAAGAACTAATTAACATGTTTTTGCATATAACTGTTTCAATGTGTATTGAATATATTGACTATAAATCGAAAACTTAACTTTCGCCAACGCGTAAAAGAGAAAAGAAAAGAGAGAGAAATCGCATCTTCTCGTCTGGACACAAGCTTTGCGCCAAAAGTTTCCAAGAGATATATGTTGAGAGAACAACGAGACAAAAGAAAGACTGTGTGAATGGTCAAAAATCTAGCAATATGACAAAACTGATATATCGTTCATCCAACTAGTGAATGAAATGGTTAATTCTTTCAGAAAATAACTCATTTAATCCAAGGCTTTTTACACCTTTTAACGCAAGTTTCTTACAATAATGCAAACGTACCGTCTTTGCAATAAGGGGACGAAATTATTTACGGGTTTGTTAAATCAGTTATACCATGTTTACCAAGAACAAAAATAAATGTGATTTGCAGGATACATCCGACAATTTTAACCTATAACCTCAATGTCAGAAACATTGCAGGAGTTACATACCTTCCCAGTAAGGTTCACACTGACATTGGGCAAGTTTGAAATTGTCAAGCGCTGGATGTGTTTCTTGAAACGAAGTGTAATCACATGACCCATGGTTGGTACAGACTTGGCATATTACAATGGTTATAACCAATTCCGGGGAAGTTGCTCCCAGATTATCTGTTGCACTAAAACTAAAATAGCAAAAAATACATATGATCATATTTTAATAGTTCAGACAACATGAGGACCTTTTTAGCTTTAATGCGTTTATTTACTATTATAATATCTGAAATACAAATATTTGAAAAAGAAACGAATAAATTATAGAAGTTTGTTTTCAAAGAATATGCATTACTGTCTACAACTGAAACAAGAATGAAAATGAAGACGTAAATATAGATTTAAATGACATTATGTTTTACTTTTCGCTGTTAAGTTGAGCTGATTTGTAATGTATATTAAAAGATTGGCTATTGTAACAGTGACTGACCAATAACTGATAATAACAAAACGTGTATGATACAATATAAAAACTACCTGAATTATAAAATGACTGCCGTATTCTTTTTCAAATTCAAGCATTACATGGTGAAAGGTATTTATATAAAAAAAATGAGTTTGTCACATGAATTATTGATTTTTTTTTTCATAGTAAAAATATAAAATTGAACACAATTATGAAAACATGTCATTTTGTTTTAAACTGTTCACTGATCATTTCCACTTTGATGGGATAATGTCATTTTAAAACGTTTTATTCGTATGACTTAATGATGTCTTATTGCATTGCCATATTGTAATCAGGCCCTAGCAATCTGCGAATCATTTTATTTTGTATATTACCTAAGCGATAAGGGATTTGAGTCTGCTAGTGTAAACACGACGGAAACAGATCCGTCTGTGTTATTCGTTCTCTGTAAACCACTTATATCTGATTCTACACTTGTGACTGCCGATCCGTCGTCTGCTGCTTTAATTCGCACAGTATTGGCGGTATTGAGTGTCGTCTGCAAATAGAACACTTCGTTTCTTTCCGTCGCCCCGGAAACTACGCTGATTGTCGGGATTTCATTTTCTGAAGAAAAAAAACATCATATTTTTGTACAGATTATTTCAATGTGTACCAATAACATTATATCTGTAATGCAATAGGCAAACATATATATTTAAACTATATTTTCTATTCCTGCAGCTGTGAATTTGAATCGTGAAAGTTTCATTTCAAGATCTTTTTTTCCTTAACCTTTACTTATCTTTTATTCTTCCTTTAAAAATTTCATTTTGTTCACAAATTTTGATTTTTTTTCTAATACGATAAAATACCGTTTTAAGCTAATCGAATATAATTGGACAGCTACTTATCTATAGATTATGGTTAAAAAGCTAAATCTATAGTAAAATTTACCTGCAATTGCTGTGACGTCATGAAAGTCATCGAATGCTGTCAAGGTACCAAGTGCGAATGATTCGTCTGCCGAAAGGAGTAAATCATAGATACATTGCTTATTTTGTTCTCCGCATGTGCTTTTTGCCTTCGCCAGATCTTCTGCAGCGAATGAAGATTCAAACAACGGTGTGAAATCTGGGAAATTGTAAGAAGCGTGGGTCTTGCCAAGGCGGTAGGCAAACTGAGATTCACTTTCTGTTGTAATCCCTGAAGAAAAAAGAATAATCACCAAAATCCACAATATGAAATAATGCGCACGATGGAAATGACCTTAAACAAGAAATTCTGACCGAACCGAGTGGTGAATGTAGTTCTAAATTACTTTAAACTGTTTGAAATTGTTTTGAAAGCGTTGACTGGTCTTTTTTTAACAACCATTTGAACAGTATTACTGTGCCTGCTAAACTGAATTTTTGAAAAGATATCTGCTGAATATTTGTATTTAACAAATATAAAATCCAAACTTACATGTTTTTCCAAAATTAAGAAATATCGCCTCCTCGTTGCTTGAAGAAGGAATAGGGGTTTGAGAATTCCTTGGTATAAGATCATCACTTGCGTCACCATTAAAGTTACCGAGCAGGCCAGAGGTGTGAGTCTTGTGTCGGGCATCGATTGAAAAAATTGAGCTTAGAAGTCCTGCACTCTTTGTGATATTCATCAAAACTCCTAAAAAAGATTCGATTTTCTAAAAAAATCTTTGCATTGTAAGAAATCCGAATAATCTCTAATATTCAATTGTGTTCTGTTATGCCAGAATAACACCTTACCACGGTTAATATCTTTAATGCACTTGCCAATCTTTCAGTGTGGACATAACAATTTGATATTTTTAGGGACAATTTAAAATATGTAATTGCCTGTTGGTCTTGGTTTCCACTGGTTGCATGGGTAGATTCAGTCGCTGCAAAGCAGAATAAAGGTCAATATATTTGCAAGGTTGCATTATGTCTTCAAATATTACGAACTTTAATTATCTGTCAGCTAATCTTCAAATGACAACAGTCACGTGACTATCTAGCAACCAAGTTACCTGCACTCGGGAACGAAACAATCAGCGTCTCTCCTGAACGTCTCATTGACAAATGTTCGTCGGTAACCTTAAAAGCGTCGCCGTTGTTGGAGAACGTCAGCGAATGGTCCACGTGACTGGATTTAAGCGGTGCGGTTCCAGATAAAACTTCAAGCTGTGTGCGGTCCGAATTTAATACAGCCTTCGGATAAAAATAACCATTATTTATACAAAATGACACATTATAATTATGAAATCTTACTGTTTAAGCATTTTACCCAGATAAATAAATTAGTTAGTTAAGGGTACGTATTGTGTCCGTTCAAAAATTCAAAGTCAGTTAATTTAAAGACCTAAAAGCTAACCAGAATTTGTATAAATGTTAACTTCTTAAGACGACTTATCTAGTTCATTAAATTTCAAAAGGTCAGTCAAATGTGTATAATGCAGATACAGTCTGATGTGAATAATTACCTGCATCCAAAAACCATTTCCTTTCACAGCAAATCCTGTAAATACTGTAGCGTCAACGGACGTTCCGTTGACGTCAATGGCGCGTCCGGTTCTAGCTTGGATTTTAAATCCAATATTGTCAATATTAAGGAGATGGTATTCTCCGTGGCCATTGAATGTATAAGCTAGTCCGTCTATGGTTGTGAAATGTGGGTCGCCAGCGGTATTACCTAAAATAGCCCATTTAAATCATTTGTTTAAATGAAAATACCAGTATTACACAAGCACGCGTCAAATGCGTCATATTAATGCAATTTTATCTTGTTTGTAAAAACCTCATTTGACATTATTTGCGAATTTCAGTTTAGCAATACAATAATTATAAAGAAATAACCAACTATTAACGTCCTGTATCTTATCTTTAAACTTTAAATAATGTTCTACAGAAATAAATGATGCATCGCATATTTGTATAATTATTTGCAAATCATTCTTACTTGTGGCAAAGTTTGGAACAGCTAGGCAATTTTGCGACGGTGGTCTGACCTCGAAGTAAAGATCACATAAATCGGCTTGTTGACAGCATATATCCTTAGTGGCAATATCTTCTTGTTGGTGCTTCGCTGTGTTTGTTTTACTATTATACCTGGCAAACGATCCTCTATATTTTCCGGTTCCGATAAAGGTTGCGCTATTAGATGACAACTTACGATACCCGCATGACTGAAAAAGTCATTAGAAAGATTTAAAGTTATTCAATGACTAAACTTTTTATTGGTATTGTTATACAAATGTAATTTTAAGGGCCAAGTGAATGTTTCTACCTAGAATGTATGAACATAAGATACATATATTACAAACACTGTTACCGTAAATGGATATAGCAAGTTTCTGGTTAAATACAACTATTTATATACATGAATTTATACATATATATGGTTCCAGACCCGGCTGCCGCATGCCGATTTTTCGTGTGATTTTTTGTGTATAATTTCCCGCTCATGACTTTCTTTCTGACACATATATATTATTCAATATCTATATTTTTTAACGAGTCCTGGATAAGTGAATTGCTGGATTAAAAATGGTTTTTATGGCATTAAATTATAAGAATTATCACCTTGGCGTAGCTTATATCAGCATTTGACGTCTGAGTATAGAAAATTTCTGAGGTGACACTCTTTAGGTTGACCGAGTCAAAGAGAGCACCAGTTTGAAAAATTGAGCAGGGGCAACGTGGAAGGGAGTTAAGTTGTGTTTGAATTGTTGTCAAACTCTGCTTTTCTCGACTGTTCCAGATCTTGCATTTAAAGTCAGCAGTGTTCTGACATTCTGCTGAACTATGGGAGTAAACTGTGGCTCCATAGCAAGCTGCAAGAAATAAATATATGCCATAGATCTACTTTAATATTTACAAAATAATTATTTATTTCTAGAATCTAAATTCGTTGTTTATTTTCGCATTTGTAAAAACAGGTTCACGTTCCACAGACTTTCTGTGTTTTCCTCCTTTGTTATTTATGCTATAAAAACAGATATTCTCTTATTAAAAAAAACTGAATGTATGATATGAAATGTGGTAAGTCACTTACCACCACCTGCCCAACGTAACGTCTCATCGACGTCCCTGTACTTGTCAAAGTTAACGGAAGTGGTCCAGACACCTTGTGGCAAACCATTAACAATCTGTCCAATGAAGACATCCCCGCTACCAATTCCCATACTTCCTCGTTTGTAAACATAGAATGAGTAGGCGGACGCTCCATCCGATGTATATAACAGTTGAAAAGTCACAGTCTAAAAGTATATCAATATATGAGCCGCGCCATGACAAAACCAACATAATGGGTTTGCGACCAGCATGGATCCAGACCAGCCTGCGCATCCGCGCAGTCTGATCAGGATCCATGCTGTTCGCTTACTAACCCTATTACAAGTAGAGAAACTGATAGCGAACAGCATGGATCCTGATCAGACTGCGCGGATGCGCAGGCTGGTCTGGATCCATGCTGGTCGCAAACGCTCTATGTTGGTTTTGTCGTGACGTGGCTCAAATGTAGAAATATTTTTATAAGTAGCAAATTGTAAACCATCCCAGCTGGTCATATAGTTAGGTCTTGGTCATTAGTTTAGCAAATTGGAAAGCATGTTTTAGTTATTATTAGGCTGGTCTCAATCTTATTCGTTAACAAAGAGAATGGAAACAAACCTGCATAAACAAAATCATTATTCATTTAAGGCAAATAATTAATGTGTTAAAGATTGTCAAAGTTGACGACTATATTTTCCTATTGAAAAAAAACAACAAAACCCACAAAACTTACTTCTGATTCAGAACCATTAAACCTCGGAACTGAATCCCAAGTCGCAACAAGAACGTAGGCGGGAGTGAAGTCTGAGGTTGGATTGTCTGTTTGTTTTGCCACTAATTGTTGCGCCTTAAGTACCGCAGCGTTGCTTTTAAGACTGTAATCTTCAGTGACGTCATACTCGTGGAACCATACGTCACCGGTGTTCGTTGCATCAAGGTCCATTAAAAACGGCGCCATACAATATTTGTTTTGGAAGTCTTCATTCTGGACATTGTGGTTCGGTACAGTGTAACCTGTGTAAGGATCCTTTAAGCAAACCAAGCCGTTGACACATATCTGTAACACGTAAAATACAGGCTTATACATTTACATAAAAAACAACAACAAAATGTCTTAAGTCTTTTATGAATAAATTACATTTATTTATAAAGAATGATGAAAGATCTCAAAAGACTTGTTACCAAATCTGAGTCACCGAGTTACTTTAAGGACTGACGTCTATGCATAGACTTTAATTTCTAGATTTCACAAGGGCCGAACTTTTATCCGTTGTATATCATGTCATGTGCAAAATTCAGTTCACATTCATAAAAGCATAAAACTGTAATTTGTGCATAGTTCTATAAAACTTTGGGTCATCTGCGTTCGAATAGTTCTTTATTATGCTTCTAATTGCTAAATTGCTTGGCTATAAACATAATGTGCACATAAGAACAGAGTACATCGTTAGTTTTTCATCTTATCCTGTATTAAAGTAGAATAATTCATATATAAATGCAGAAGAAACACGTACGTGAAACTTTTTGAAACATGTATTGGTAAATGCCACATTATAACCATTCGTCTTAGAAGGAGGTTCATGGCATCCGTCATCCATGTTGTCCAAACGGGTATCACCTGCTGATGAGCCAAACGGGAGAAACAGACCTACAAATGAACATTTAAGCGTTCTAAATGTGTATAGAGTACAATTTTGAAAAAGTTTGCGAACATGATTTAATGTGTCTTACTTTGTTTTTAACATAGACATATGCGTTGACTTTCACATGCATTCTGAGGAGCGTTATTTGATTGTATGAGCGATCTATATATAGTCAATATGTAAGTGGAAGGTTTTCTGTCATCCTGTGAAAGTCATATGACACAGTTTCAGCTTGGATATCAAGTTCCCCTTCGTGCGTTATTTCAGGCACAGGAATAGAACAATTGTTATACAGTTAGTTGTATGTATAAAGATGTGTAGGTGGTAGTGTAAGCTCCCATTCAAAACATGGCTGACTGACCATAGATGTTTCTAATTTAAATCATCGAGTTATTCTATGGATGACATGTGTATTTTAAAATCAAGATGCGACAGTTAAACACAATTCAATAAAATAGTAAAACAAGTTCTTTTTATTTGTACAATATGCTGGAAATAATAAGAACAATGGTACCATAGGGGACCATCCTATTATTATTTCAAAATTGCCTTTTTACACTATCCTTACATTAAGATGGTTTCGTTTGACTGCATGGGTATTTTCCCTTGATCCACCTTGAAGATTTATAGAAAAAAACAACAACAACAAGAAAAAACGAGTATATTTAACTAGAGGAAAAGTATTTGGTTAAATTCTGCATCTCCCTGCTTACTTCTTAGATCATTAAAATGATATTTTTTGTTATATTTTGCTGTATACAGTACATATGACTTTTTTTGTATCATGAAATACAAAACTGTTTAAATCAAAGGAAAGGAATTCAAAATGTCAGTGTGAAATATAAGATAGTATAACCATTGGCTATGACAATAAGCTCAAATTTCTTCTTTTGCTTTTACTATTGATGGGATTCCGATGACAGACATTTTTTTAGTTATGAGCTGATTGTTAAATCACATTGTTATATGATCTATACATAATTATATCCCCGACGTTCTTTCGTATGACGTATTCAGACACGAAAAGAAATATCGTATTACAATACTATAACTATCTCTTTTACTTTATTCTTTAATTTTAAATTAATGTCTCATATGAATGACATTTACTTATTAATTTGCCAAAAAAAAAAATAAATAAAAAAAAAGAATAAATAAATAAAGAAAAAAAACAAGAAAAAAAAAAACAATAACATCATCATCATCATCAACATCAACAACATCACCCACAACTTTATCATCTTTAAAGTGCGACTAAACCAGTGACACTTTTACGTTACAGAAAAAAATCAATGTCCAGTGACATACCTTTTCGTGGCGTCAGCCCAGCAAGAACGTTTATGATGCAGTTGTCAATAATAATAATAATAATAATAATAATAATAATAATAATAATAATAATAATAATAATAAGAATAACAACAACAATAATAATAATAATGATGAGAGCAGCAGCAACAACAACAACAGCAACAATAACAATAATAATAATAATAAATGATAATAACGTGAGACGTCTTTAATAAATATTTTAAACGAAATAACGTTAAAATTTATCAACAAATCGCAGAAATAAATACTTTACCATTTGCAGCATCTCCACAGTAAGATTTTGGTGTGGCAGTTGTTGGTGCTTGTGTAGTCGTGTCCTCCTGTGTGGTGGTTGGTGGATCTGTTGTTGTTGTTGTGGCGGCCGTTGTTGTCGTGGTACCTGTCGTTGTCGTGTCAGGGGGAGGTGTTGTTGTCACCGGGGGATTCGTGTTCGGGGCATTTGTTGCCGCACTACTCAGTTTCAAAGACGTTACCATTATGCAACATAATGCCGTTAGAGTAAACTGTCTAAATTCTCTCATCTTTTTGCTTTGAAATAAAGGAAATATTGATAAATTCCTTCAAAATTTTACGAAAAGAAAAAATGAATAAAAAGTGTTACACCCTATTTTTATAACGACATCTTTAATACAGCAGTGGCCACACACTTGAAGGCTAGTTTAAATCCAAATAAGAATTGAAACACCTACATCTAAACATATATAATCATCTTTTTAATGCAGAAGGAGAATATAAAGGCTTAGTATTGGTGCGCTGGACAATGGACCTCCTGCGGCTAGAGATTGCTTCATTTACCCTAAATCACCGAAATTCTACAAATCACGGTCAGCACTATACTTCTGTATTATTCGGGTTTTAATGATACTTTTCATCACATTCGTTGAAAGGATAAATCAAGTTCTTTTGTTACGTTCTAAGATGTATCACCAACGCCCAGCTTATACTTTTATTTGAGAAAAGTGGGGGCATCTAAAACGGATAATATGAAGCCGATTGACCATAAAAAACTGTAGAAATACAAACACGGTTATGGCTGCTTATTTTCTCAATGAATGAAAACTGATTTGCTAGTTTTCTATACCGGACTCTATGTTATTCATACGAGCTGTAATGTATCCAAAACAGGAGTCTGAAAAATGCGAAACAAAAAATCATACTCTAAAGGACCACCATGATAGGAAAGAAAAAGATGATTTTACGTGTATTAATTAATGGTACTGGTTATTATGATTAATATAGCGTAATAATATGTATAAATGACCAAGATCTTGACTATTACATCTTTAAGTTGCTGGGAGTTATCATTTTACAAACCTAGTCTTTTAGCACGACTCTGAGTTTGTTTTTCAAACGAGTACATGTTTATGGCATTAGGAAAGGAAGAAAAAATGTAATCTCTTCATGGTATTTGTAAGTCAACTGAGTTTCGTTTCTCAATCATTTATTTGTGTTTCTTTAGTAAGGGGTTCATGTCACATCGGTGCTGCTTAGGTGATGTCGCTACAGTCCAGACTTTTGTAGAGGTTTTTTCAAGCAATTGGCAAGCACTTGTTTGCAATGAGCCCTCGACTTTACACACACTTTACTTGGAAATGAAGCTTCCATGGACGGAATAAATGAACGTCTGGGTTTCAGCTTCACAGCGGTGGAGGTCAAATGATTTGATGTTACCTAGTCAGGGAGTTCGTGAACATTTTTCACTCTTTATCTTTCACAAACCGTTGATAAATATTTTTAGATATTACCGTGATTGACAAATACGGGCAAAATTCAGTACGTTAAAATTGACCAGTGCGGGGTATATATCACTGTCAACTATCTACACACAGTAACATAAAACCAGCCAGAAGATAATAATAATCTGATCGTAATTTGTGTCATCAAAGATCAACTCTATGATACTATCGTGACAGATAGTCACGGAATGAAATCAAAACCTTACATCGATACTTCCCATTAGCTTAGTTTCGTGTAATAGATAGATAGATAGTTTTATTCTGGTAAAAAATACATGTCATAAAACAACTACAAATTCAATGTCAACATCAAGAGATACATGTAAACATGAAAGTGCATGTGTTGATGCCATATATTCAATACCAAGGATGACACAAAAAGAAGGCATAAGCCGACTTATTTCCATTGTGGTCCTTAAAGTTGATCATATGACACCAAAAAGGCAAAATATTTACAAATTATTAAGTATTGCACATAAATTATTCAATTACAATTTCTTATATCAATTATTGCACATAAGTATTTCCATCACAGAATTTATCACACATGTATTATAATCATAATTATTATGACAGATATGTTTGACAATGAATAGGTACTACTAAAATATGCACTAAACATAAAAAATATATAAATAAAAGCTAGGTAAGATGACTAGATTAAAATGACTAAACAGATATTGATTGCATAAAATGTTCCTTAAGAGACTTTTTAAAATTATCACGACTTGCTATGAACCTAAGATGTGTTGGTAACCTGTTCCATTCCTGACAACCATTAAATACAAATGTTTTCTTACCGAAACCCTTAACTCTTGGAATAGAATAACTGTTACTATCTCTAAACCGAGTGGAGTAAGAGTGTACCTCATTTGCAATTTGAAAATGCTCATTTAAATAACTAGGTGCACTATTGTTATGTATCTTATGTACATGACCAAGAATAAGGAAATTTACCCTCAGATGTACTGGTAACCAACCAACTTCCTCAAAATGAGCCCTCCCTATATGAGTACGGGGACTGAGATTAAGTATAAATCTCACCAACTTATTCTGTGTGGCCTGAAGTCTATTTTTTAGATTGTGACTCAACCCTAAATACCAGGAGGCACACGCATAATCAAAATGACATTGTATTAATGAAGAAACTAAAAGCTGTTTAGTATACCTATTTAAAAATGAACTTTTTCTATATAAAAACTTAAGTTTTGCATTGGCCTTCTTAATTACCTGATTGGCTATAGACTCACAAGATAGACATTGATCTAGGTCAGCACCTAAGTATTTAACAGATTTGGTGGATGTTATTGTAGTACCATTACATACAATATTTAGTTGATCACATGACCTCAGTCTTGGTTTAGACGCAAATAAAATAGACTCTGTCTTTCCAAGATGTAAGGAAAGTTTATTATCAGTGAGCCACTTACTCACACTGCTGAGATCACCAGTAAGCTGAGAGGTAATATACTGGATATCTTTACCTGATACTAAAATACCTGAGTCATCAGCATACAAAAGCAATTTATTACGAACCACAGCCTCCATATCATTAACATAAATCAAGAATAGGAGAGGGCCAAGGATCGAACCTTGGGGTACCCCACAAGTTACATTGGCGCTAGATGAAAGTACACCGGAGACATTGACCATTTGTGTACGGCTAGATAAGTAGGACCTAAACCAGTGAATAACATCACTAGAAAACCCCATAGCATCAAGTTTCATGAGTAAAATATTATGATCGACAGTGTCGAACGCCTTTTGTAAATCTAAAAGGACCATACCAACATAATTACCTTTATCCATTTCAAATTTAATGAAATCTGTAAGGTGTAAAAGGCAAGTGTCAGTAGAATATCTATGTCTAAAACCAGACTGATGGGTATATAGTAGGTTATTCTCTGATAAGTAACTCTCTACTTGGTCATAAATAATTCACTCAAGGACCTTGGACACTACACTTAAAATAGACACTGGTCGATAATTACCAGGTTCAGTCTTATTATTTTTTTTATACAATGGAACAACACGGGCAGACTTGAGATCATCTGGAACAATACCAGTAATAATGGACAAATTAAGTATATGAGTAAGGGGTTCAGCAATGTTGTGAACACTATCCTTTATAAATCGCGCAGGTATACCATCCAAGCCTGTAGCTTTATTGGCCCCTAGTTTATTTAAGTACTTAATTACAGTTCCCTTAGTAACAATAGATAAAGAAAAACTGTTACGTACAACACCCTTTTTACTATAAAAATATAATATAAAATTTCTTCCAAAATTATTCATACTAGTAGGAAGTTTTTCAACTAACTTTTGAGCTACAGTCGTAAAAAATTCATTAAATTTTTCAGCAACACAAAATTTATCAAAACATAAACTATTATTGATTTTTAAACCTATATTTGAAGTCGAAGAGTCTTTTTTTGATGGTACACCTAAACCTTTTAATGTTTTCCATAACTATTTCGAGTCAGTTCTGTGGTCTTCAATATTTTGTTTGATAAAATCAGTTTTACACTTTTTTATTTGATATATAATCGTCCTAAGTAATGCTTTCTTTGAAACTGGTGTTTCTTATTTCTTAAAACTTGATTTTCTATAAAACTGCACAAATATAAATGACGTCTGACGCAGTTATGACGTAATCTGACGTCATATGTATAACAAATGATGACCAACAGTCTCTCGGAGTGGATGTCAGGGCGGGGCAGGGGGCTGGGCGTGTGGCGGCGATGGCTTAGACGATAAGCGATGGGATTAGCAGGCACACCGTAGTTGAAAATGATACACCGGTTCAAATGAAACTTTTCATCTATTTCTTATAATGAAAGGAGCAGTTTTATTTTAAAGATTTAATTTTTTGAATGAAGCCTTTATTATAAAAAGTATGTTATATTATGAATCATTTCCTTCTCGCCCTTTTTACTATTTCTTTTCTTTTTTAAATCACAAAACCACTTTTCTTTACTTCAATCACAGATCGATAAAGATATCAAGTTCCATTTTATCAATCTAACAAATATTAACAGGGGGTTAATTGCCTTTTGCTACATTTTAAATTATTTCGGACATGAAAAGAGAACAATTCCCGCACCCCTTTACCTTCGTGTATGAAACGGTTTCTGATCACGTTATGGCCGGCCGAGCTGAAATTGACCCCCTATTTAAAATATAAGCCGCGTCACGACAAAACCAACATAGTGGGTTTGCGATCAGCATGAATCCAGACCAGCCTGCGCATCCGCGCAGTCTGATCAAGATCCATGCTGTTCGCTATCAGTTTCTCTGCTTGTAATAGAGTTGGTAAGCAAACAGCATGGATCCTGATCAGACTGCGCGGACGCGCAGGCTGGTCTGGATCCATGCTGGTCGCAAACACACTATGTTGGTTTTGTCGTGACGCGGCTCAAATGTGTATCGGGGCGTGGCTGCTTTAAAATTACCTGTTGGAATTTTAACAACAATGTCCCAAAGGCTATTCTTTTTATTATGAAAAGAATGTATAATTGAAATATAGAACTAGTAAGTGGCAAACACTAAAATGTGAAATTCGATTCAAGCAGTCTTAGGCTCGAGTATATTTTAACCTACCTACGTTAACCTGAAAGCAATTTGATATACAAAGAAAGACATGTTATTCCAATTTTTAATGTTAAGATGGGTTGATGATGATTTCGACGCGTTCTTCATTCTAATATGATATAAAACTGATTGTTATGAAGTGCGATTATTCTATCACAACGCCGGTACGGAATGTATCTGCCGGTCTTCCATATCTCGGTTTTCTGCACGTGAATTTACAGATTTTATACAGTCTTACTTTTATTAAGTCTTACTGTATATATTGCAAATTATACTATAACATCAGATACAGTGAGAGATATTCGAAATCTTATCCAAAATACTTCTCTAAACACATAGGATTTTTTTAGTGATTTTGAGTCTTTGTATTAAGACCATCCATATTTATATAATACAGAAAAATATTGTTCCGATTATTTAAAAAGTAGGCCTATATTGATAGAACTATTATCGTTCAGTTACATCATATATTAAAAAAAATACATCAATTATAATGGAAGTGAATGATGACCATCAATATCATCATCATCAATCTCATCATCATCAACAACAACAAAAACAATAACATCAACATCATCATCATCATCAACAACAACATGAAAAACATCATCATCATAGTCATCATCATTACTATCATCATCATCATCATCATGAACAACATCATCATCATCATCATGAACAACATTATCATTATCATCATCATCATCAATCAATCAATCAATCACTTTCCACTTTATTTTCTAATTAACATTATTCAAATTTACTTACCATTTGATAGATTTAATAATTCCTACAAACGTGTTGATTTATAAGCACAAATTTCGGGAAAACACTTTTGTTTAATATATTTTGTCACAATAATTCCTGTGTATTTTAGACCTTTCACAGATCACACTTACTAGTTCACGAAATTTATTATCCCTTGGTATAGTTCAAGAAATATTTATTTATCCTAATTTGCGAAAAATAGGGACATATAATCACAGATGTTATGTTGTGCCACTGACGCGACTTTGTTTAAAAATGCGAACATACCCCTGTTTCATTCTATCATTCAATTTTAATTTCTACCCCCACATAAGCGCACCAGCCAGGCGTGGAAAGCACGCACGAAGTTAAAATAGTGGTAATTTAATGATAGCTTTTGAACAAAAATATTTTTCAACACGTTTTCGTAGACGTCTCTGATTTCTGTTTTAGGTATTTCAAAAAACAAGGGCGTTGTTTACCATTTATTGTCCTCATATCTTTTTTAATTTCTATCTCTATTATGAAATATTTGTTTAACTTCAATAAAGAGATCGCTCCCATGTATCTATTTAAAAAAATGTCATATAGGTGTGATTTTGAACCTTCAGAACCTGTTCTATTGTATCATGGTTAACCAATTACGTTAAAACTACCGAACAGCTACTTAGAAGCAGTTTTACAAGGACAATTATTTCATTCACAATTTTAACAAAGCACCTATCAATATCTCATCAAACAGCAAATATACAGATTACATTCACAGTTTTAAAGGACCCTGGTGGTGACATATGGAGGGTGATTTTTTAAGTAAAATGTTTTTTTTTAATTTTTTATACAGACAGAAAGAAAGAAGGGAAGAAAGAAAGAAAGAAAAAAACCCATATACATGTGTAATAGTACTTCAGCAGTATATATATAGTTTAAATTTGCATATTTGATCGATGCACTCCATATAGGTAGACCATCTTGTATCTGGGTACTTTGGGTACTTAGCCAGACTCTAATTCGCGCATTAAAATCGTTATCAATTGGTCCCCGTAAACAATAACGTTTTAGCGACTGCGGCAATATATCGTGATAGCCACTGCGGTTACATATCGTGATAGCCACTGCGACAACAAATAGTAAAATAACTGCGACAACATATCGTAATAGTGACTGCGACAACATATTGTGATAGCCACTGCGGTTACATATCGTGATAGCCACTGCGACAACATATCGTGATTGCCACTGCGACAGCATATCGTGATAGCCACTGCGGTTACATATCGTGATAGCCACTGCGGCAACAAATAGTAAAATAACTGCGACAACATATCGTGATAGCAACTGCGGCAACATATCGTGATAGCCACTGCGGCAACATATTGTGATAGCAACTGCCGAAGCATATCGTGATAACGACTGCCGCAATATATCGTGAAAGCGACTACGGTTACATATCGAGATATTCACTGTAGCTTAAAATCGCGATAGCGATTGCGGCAACATATCATGATAGAGATTCCAGTTACATGTCATGATAGCGACTACGGTTATATATCTTGATAGCGACTACGATTACATATCGTGATAGTAACTGCGGCCACATATCGTGATAACGACTGCGGTTACATATCTTAAAAGTGACTACGATTACATATCGTGATAGCGACTGCGGCGGTTACATTTCGTGATGATGACTAAGGTTACATATCATGACAGTGACTACAGTTATATATCGTGATGATGACAAAAGTTGCATATCGTGATCTAGTGACTACTGTTACATATCGCGATGATAACTACGGCTACATATCGTGATAGTGACTACGGTTACATATCGTGATGATGACTACGGGTACATATCGTGATGATGACAAAAGTTGCATATCGTTATCAAGTGACTACGGTTACGTATCGTGATGATAACTACGGCTACATATCGTGATAGTGACTACGGTTACATATCGTGATGAGGACTACAGTTACATATTGTGATGATCACTACAGTTACATATCGCGATGAGAACTATGATTGCATATCATGATAATGACTACGGCTACATACACGGTTACATATCGTAATGATGACTTAGATTATATGGCAAAATCAATCAATATATAGAAAATTTGTTTTTAGCATGTAAGATTCAAATTATAATAATAGTATTTTACTCAGCAGTGAACACTAGCTGTCGTTTTCACTGTGTGAAATCTATTTCGATCTGATATGCAAACGACGAAACAAAACAAATCAAACAAGAGCCGGTCGAACCGGATGATGCTCCCATAATATGTTTTGGACACAGAAAAGTAGTTTCATGTTGATATCTCTTGAATTTTCTTAGAAAAAGTTCAAAGTATAAAAAAATTAAAAGAAAAAAACAATAACTCAAAAATAAGGCAAGGTAGAGTTACGGTTCCTATGCAAATGCACTTCTACTTAATGAGATCTGTCTACCTACTAAGTTTTTTTTTGATTAATTTTGTGGTTTCAGAGTTATGTCCCGGACAAAGTTCAAAGTGTTAAAATGAAAAAAGCAAAAACTCCGAATTACGATTCCTTTGCAATGCACTTCTACTCAATGTGATTTGTCTACATACAAAGTTCCTTGTTGATACCTCTTGTGATTTCAGAGTTATGTCCCGGACAAAGTTCAAAGTGTCAAATGAAGAGGGCAAAACCTCCAAATTTAAGCAAGGCAGAGTTACAATTCTAGTACTTAATGACATCTATTTATCTACTTGTTTCTTGTGGACACCTTTGTAGTTTCAGAGTTCTGTCCCGGACAAGAAGCGGACAGACGGACATCCTGACGGACGGACAAAGCGGTGACTTTTTGCTCTCTCTTCGGTAAGCATAATCAAAACAAAACAAAACATATATCTTCAATATATATTTTGATATCTCTAAAGTGACTATGGTGAAATATCGTGATGACAATTATTTCTGTAATAGTTATCCTCAGCAGCAACGCTTGTCAGGTTTCATTTTTCAGAATAGTCATTCACTTTACATGATGACAAATGTCAATATTTCCTACCTCTATGTTTATCAAAATATCAATATTCATGGTCAGTTAAACAATATGTACCGACCGTAAACATTTATATCTGTATGTCACAACAGTTGACACTCGAAGTGTAATGAGTCAAAAAACGAAATTAGCGAGCCTCAACAACAGTACAAGTTTTACCACGTGAATCATGCCAGACGACCGAATAATTGTACATTTCCGTTCAGACTCGGGTAAAAACGATCGGTAACCAGTAATCGACGAAAGGTACTGATTGTCATGTCAAGACAGATATGGTTTTGTCTATCATAGTTGTACAAACATTGGTAAAATGTATACGTGCATTAAAATAGCATGACTCCAGGGTCCAAGATTATAAAGAAATATTCTAAGCTTAAATCCAGATCTCCGGTATTTGATTGGTTAGAAATCAGCTCAGAATGTACACTGACCAATGAAAATCCGGAGATGAACTCAGAACAAAAGTTTTATAACCTCGAGACCAGAAGACAGGAAATCTACCGTCGTACCAATATTTCAAAATCTTACTAGTATAAATAAACAAGTAAGAATGTAAAGCCTCCTCATAGCATTGCGAAGAGTACGTGCTATGAAAAACAATTTCAGATCGGCAGATGAAATAGAAGGCTCAATGTACGATTTTAAAGCGTGCAAGTTCTGCTGTTAATTACATGTCTCTTGAATACGATAAGGCCAGTGCAGACTTAGTTTGCATTAAGTTAAGCTGTGATTAGGTTCCCATAAACAATGCCAGAGTGGTCCCTACACAAGTTATAAAACACTTATGCATTGGTGTTCATAAATTGCGTGACCCTAGTACAGATAGACGGCTTGTAAGACAGGCCTTTTGCTGGCACCAACAGCCCTTTTCAGGGCTACCCTTTCCTATTGTCACAGGTTACTGTACATTTAGGTTCTCATTCTCTTTCAGGGCATGACTGGTGACATGTCCGGGGTCCGTACTCGACAGCGAAAGCTGCGTTTTGTGCCCGAAAGGCGGATGGACCCTCATTAAGCATTAACTACATACATACGATTTCAGTAAGCAAAATAAAATGAAGTTTCAAAGCCTTGCGTAAATTAGCATTGGAAATTTGAAGGAAGAAAAATACTGAAACAAATATGATTAAATACCAATTTCCAGATTTTTCTTGATGAACATGTACAATATTTGAGCTCTTAAAAAAAATAAGTACTGCATGCTTTAAAACAGTGAATTGTTCTGTTTCTGTTAAAGAATTAATACATTCTGTCTATTTCTTTGAATACGACTAAGGAAAACATCAGATTTAAGTCAGATTTCTGTATGTTATGGATTTATTTTGTTTGATAAATTATTGCATTGAAATTGATTTTAAGGAATAAAATCATAAAAACAATGCAACAATTGTTGTCCAATATCACAACGCTTATTAACAATATTATCATTGTAACTATTTTCATGCCAAATTACGCAGATACGATCACTACGAAAATGTAAACAAAGTGGACAAAACTTAATAGTTGTATAAAGCTAATTTTAAACAGAAACACTTCTGTTTTAACTAACGTCCACATGGATTTATTGGCCTTTTCTCGTCATAAAGAAACGTAAAGCATAGTTTCCAAGAACTCAACATCGGTTTCGGATGATGTTATTTAAAATGTTATGAACTACGTGAGTGGGGACCACTTTCTGAGCCAGAGAAGGTGTTCCGCATTGATTTAGCTACAGGTAAAAAGACAAAATAAGCAGGATAAAAATCGTTCAATACATTGTTTTTATTTTATATGGTATTTTTTCAAAACAGAAAAAAACCCGGAAAATATTGGGGTCACCGATCTCATATTCAAGTTATTGGTCGTTTAATTCGAAAATTTAATATCATCAGTGGCAATATTAATTAGTTAGAATACAGTCTATTTTAAACTAGTACTACTTCGTTTTGAGGCCTGGTTTAACATTTATTCTTTTTTCCTTTCTCCATAAGCAATGTAATGAAATTCAGAAATTGTAAAAAGCAAAATAAACCCTATATTTCGATTACATATGATGATATATTTGTTAGAAAATAAAGAGTCATTCTGAGTTATTATTTATTGATTATTTTTCATTTTTTGGACAGGTGGCTTCTACAAAACTTTGTATAAAACTGTACATAAAGATACAAAGTTGCCTCCAATCAATTCAATCTACTTTCTTTTGTGATAGGAGGACAAGTTCGCTAATGAAACACATAACGCAACAAACATATTTTTCATTCTATTGACAGCAATACACTAAACCCCCAAAAATGTGATGTCATTTTCATACAAAACACTTTAACAATTATAACCCGTAATAACATTGTGCCAAAGTCTTTAATAATTATCTT